TCTTGTCCTCAACTATTTCTATATGGCAAAGTTAGTAGCATTCATCAGCCATATCGCAACATATATTTTTATCCTCTTCTTTCTTCTTTGCTTTGGCATTTTTCAGATATGGCTAGCACACCATTTCTCTTCCAATATCTGCTGTATTTGTTGTCTCAAATCGCTGATGGTAGAAATCAGTGTCCTTGTATGCTACTAACTTTAGTTACCGTAAATCCCGCTATTCCATCCATTTGCCATAAGAATACAGGAATATAGATTTTCATGATCTCAATATTTGACATAGTACGGTATTGGCAAACCGGCCACTGTCAAATGCGGCTTGCAAATCTGTTGTTTAGTTTATGTTTAATTATACCAAACACTTTACCACCAATAACATTGCCTCAACATCACTCTCTTCTTTTAAGCTTGGAATTAAGCACATCCGCCTCTCCCGGGAGAGAATGGGGCACACCACCAGGTCGCCTGTTATATTCTTTTCAGAGTGTACTCATTTAGGGAGTATCTTCCTGGCCGATCAACCGTCACGGAGCACGCTACACCAAGCAGGCTTCCAAGGTTTGGGGCCCTGTACTTGCTCATGCTGCATCGGGATGTAGGAGATTGTTGTAGGCATGAGTGACAACACGTTATTCTGCGTATCCCCAAACGGGCAGTATCCGAACGACGCCTATACACGCGCCAGCAAAGAAACGGCAAGGTGCCACAACGGAACCAGCGCTCTACAATGCGTGGAAATTTTCTGTATCCCTTTTTTTATAGACCCTTTTAAAGATAATATATCATGCAAACGTCGAATAAGGGAAGTAAGAGCAATCGGCTTGATATAAAAAGAGTTAGCCCAAAAGATGGGTTATTGGGTAGCACAACACACAAGCACGTGAGAATTATTATACACACATTCTCAACCAAATAAGCAGCTATTATGGTTCATATCCGTCTAAATCCAATAGGAGTAATGAGGTTTTGTTGTGGGGCATGCTGCTTTTTAGGGTTCAACTTCCAGACCACACAACAATTCACTTGGCTACCATAGACATTAAGTTCTGTAAACAACTTTGTTGACTCTTCTTCCTAGGTAAATCCCTTCTGACTTAATCTTGACAATCAGTTGTAGGATAATTCGATCGTGACTGCGTTGCCGTGAGATGAAGACAAGATTGACCTTCGAGAATTACTAGGCAAGATCCACCAAACCTCTCAGCTCCCCTAGACTTTCCAGTCTTGTCATATGCGTGATCTTCTCTCTTGATTCATTGCTTCTTGATTGCTTTCACTACAACAAAAGGCGGGTTTTCCAAGAACAGTTTCCAGAAGTCGGGGTCCTCTTGGATGGTTTTCGCACTCTCAAAAGGTATAACCTCAATATCTATGAAGCCATATTTTCTCTCCACCTCGAATGAACGACACAGACTCGCTTCCATCGAAGCAGCCTCGTATTCCCAAACTGGATCTCCGGGAATGGATACGGTGTAAGCCAGACCTCCAGGGATAGGTCTGAAGTTCTTGTAGATGTAACCGTACTTGCCAACTTGGAGGCAATGAGTCTTCGGGTCTGCAACACGGGTGCCAAGGAACCTGCCACCAGGCTTGAGGTATTTCTCAATGTTCTTCCACACCCCTTCGAGCATCTGGATACTGCCAACATGGTCCAGCACCCAATTTACCATGATGAGATCATAGGCCGGTTCGAGCGGCAGATGGTCCAGTGGCAATGAAACATCGGCTTCGAAGAAGCGCATCCGACCCTCCCGCTCAAGAGATTTCTCAACCTCCTCAGCGACTTGGAGCATCGTGGGGGTTATATCCACAAGGTCGATTCGAGATGCGCCCGCATCGACAGCTTCTCGGGCGTGGACACCAGCACCGCCGCCGAGATCAAGCACAAGCAGCCCAGAGACATCTCCAATGGCAGTTTTGACAAGCTCTGACTCTAGGATGCCCGCAGGCTTGAACTCGAATTTGTTGTACTGCTCAGCGTGGTTCATGTAGTCTTCTTTGGCTTGATCTGAGATAGACATGATTCACTGTATTCAATAAGAGAAAGTTGGCAAATAATTCTGGATGAGTAGACAAGTGAGCAAAATGATTGATGTATCGGACTCGACTCAGTGGTTTCTTCTCTCCTATTTAAGCTATTTACCTACGCAAGGCGATACGGTCAGATGAGGGGGTATGCATGATAACATCCCAAGATCAACACATCCTACCATATCGCTCAAGGTCATGGAAGAGTCTTTCCATACCACCCGTACATACGTGGCATGCCTTGATAATTTCGGCTATGACTCAAGATTCTGTCCGTTTATGGGGACATTACGGCAAGATTGCCACTTGCTGCAATTATTGTAGCTCGATATACAAAAGCAGATACTGGTGCAGGGAATATGTGCTGCCGAAAATCATTTTTTGTGTGCGCCTTACTCTTCGCAGATTGACATGCAGCTTTGCATACGGTAGGTCACAATATGCCCTTTCTTGGCATCTTGACCGGATGGATGATCAGTCCCAAAGAATAATATTCAAAGCGCAAGGATGGGGCAGAAAGTGACATATCACGCTGCTTCTTCCCAATACGCACACTTGCCTAAGGTTTCACGCGTGCAGCTATACAGATACGAGAGGGCATGCCACAGCGAGCATGTGTGTTCAAGCTGTATTAGGCGTACGCTCGGCAGTCACGCGGAAGGGAGGGAGAGAGTAGTAGGCCGCAGCTCATGTCAAACTATGGCAAAACAGTCACCGCACATGATCAATGGTGGTACGGTGGCATCGCCACTGTGCTTGCTTGTTCAAGTGGCGAGCATAATTAGCTACATGCAGGCTCCCTAGATCTGTCTCGAAAGCACAGAGCAAACAAGCCTTGTAGTACTTGACAGAGCGCGGCAAAGTTCCTGACCAACGGGGACCAGAAGAAGACATGTAGCATTATTTTCGATGTACACAGCGTTTGACATCAAGGGTCTTAACCCCAATCAAGCCTTCCAGACACACTTATTGAGTGTCGTCACCAGGCTAAGCCTCTAAACCACGGACCTGTTCGTCATTTTGTCGGGAAGGCCCCCACTGAAGGGAGACGTTGAGCGAAACCTGTCCGGCGGGAATATTTATCGAAAAGGCTCCATTCGGGCTCCTTTGGCCCCTCTCCTTGTAAAGCTTAACGAAATGGGCAACCACAATTGCAATGCTCAGGCATCTTATGTAACAGTATCAGTCAAACCTCTGCTTGCTATGTTCAAGGGGTAGACATGGGAGGAGCTTACACAACAACAGCGTCAAGCACTAGAAAGAACCAGACGGCAACGATGTATTTTGTTTCCCAGTCCAGGCATTCGGCATATGAACCAGGATACTGGCTATTCGGATCGTCAAGGGATTTACTACAACTGAGGCCACTCCAGTAGATTCGACGAGACGTCTGGTCCCCGACAAAGAGGAACACGACGAAGGCGTTGGAGCCATAGATGAGAATACTGAGAAGCGCCGCGGTGGGCCTCCCCTTGGTCTTGATCCAGAGCGCGTTAAATGCACTGAACAAGGCGATGAGGACTCCCTATTGGCTCTATGGGTTAGCCTCACTGGGACATGCCCATGGCATCTTGGGGAGGTAACAAACCAGGAATGCGTATGAGGCACCATCGTAATGAAATGTCCAATCGCTGTCGCCGAAGTGATACGAGCCATACGAGTTCATCGCAAAGAGGATGCCGAGGAAAACGACCTGCGAAAAGCCGAGAGCCGTCATGGCCCAACTCATGAAATATATGGCGCGATTTACGCGTGATGGTGGCTGGCCGCGACCGGTACCATCTGGCTCTGTTGCTGGCTCACCCTCATCCCGACGAGCAGAGGGCTGCTCAGCAATCTCGCTGTTGCCATGAGTGTCATCGAGCAAGGGTGTCGCTTCAGTGGGATGTGGGGACAAATGCGAAGAGGCCATGACGAAGATACTTGTCAACCGTGATCGTTGTTTATTTAGGCCAGAGTGATTTTGATGCGGTGATGCTGCATGAGTGGCAAAGCTGACCGTTTATGCTATTTTTAGACACTGGTCTAGGCAACCAGGCTATGAGGCGACGTGGATGTTTTTTTTTTCGTTGTCAGATCTGTTTTCGTGAAGCTGGATAACCTTCCTACGACCTACCCTACACCCCATCTCCTTACTCCGATGACTACCTACCTGAGTATTTGATAGTCCGCTGCAATTCCAAACTACGTAGATGATCTGTAGTCGAATAAAGAAGAAATAGGTTTTCCAATCTAAGTTTGGCCTCACAGAATGGTCAGGGTGGTTGATGGTATGTGATCGTTTCACGTTGTTAGATCATAATATTGCGAAACACGATCTATTTTTACCCATGACGATGCTCGCTTCTTTTTTAATTGCACTCGTCTCCCAAGATCTCCTTGAATTGAGAGCGAATAGCCCTTGTGCTGACAGCACCCTCTAGGCTACACGTACCTCGATGTTCACCTTGTTTATGCACTGATTGGCTACCTACTTGCGTAGGTAGGGGGCCGGCTAATTTAGGCCAAGCAGGTATTCATGACTAAAGCCACCCATTTGATTGCCCTTGCGCGTTGTGCACGGATGCTGCCATGTATCAGATGTAAACAGTAACGCGGGATAATCTACAGCCTCTGCCACGATGGCCCTAAGCTGGAGTCGTTCAATTTCTTCTTTGGCGGCCCGGATATAACAGTATGTTGAGCCTAGATAAATATAATGTACATGCGGCATGCGATGTGTATAAACAACCACTGTTCAATATCGCGCACGCTGCTGATTGTGGCGCTGTCCAGAAACAGGGTTCACCCACGAAAGTACTCAATGCATTGCTAACCAACCAGCCACTCCAATTCAGCAATCTGAGCGTCTTTGTTCAGGGGCATGTTCCCCCTCTCTCCACGTAAATCCTGATCTTTCTATTGTTTGAGTTTTGGCGCGATAGTGCCGCAAACAATTATCCGCTAACAACAGGAAGCTATTGATCGAAATGCCTCGTATCCCCGCCCCCCCAAGGACCACATACTGCCAGCACTGCAAGCGGCAGAGGGTTAAGGTGAGGTTAAATTGGCTAGCTTTGTCACTTGTGCTTTTCTCCCTGGGGCAGGCCCCTGCCCTTACCGTCCGGAAGGCGTTCCTGTTCCTTCGGTTCCTGGTGACTAATTCGATATCGTCAGTGCGATCAGCAGTGGCCGACTTGTTCGGCATGCCGTCGAGCCCACCTCGTCTGCCCTGGCCCTACATCGATGATCAAGTCCGTACATAACGGAAGTCATACCGTGAATGATGAGACCGACGGCTATATCCTGCAAACGTCAGCCTCCTCCGCCCCTCGAGGTGGTGGGAATGGCGATGGACGGATCATCGCCGTCCGGCCTAGTTCACTTGTGAAAACGTACCAGAATGGCTCCGTGGCTCGCTCATTCCGTCTTGTCAACGCGAGGCCCTCCATGACGCCTTCGGACCGGGTTGCGTATCTCCTCGTAGCCATGATGAATCTGGATTCGGAGAGTGTGAACATTGCTGGTATTTTACTTGGCCGGCTCAGAGGGGTTCCTTCACGTCTGTCGGGCAGTGCCTGTCTGCGTGACGCTGTCGCCTAAAAATGCGCCAATATAAAGGGTATGCACCTCGGCCTGCAGACACCAAGTGTTGACACGTTGAAGCTTTATGGAAAGGCGCTCCGTAGTCTACAGCAGGCACTGAATGGTCCTAAGGCTTTGAGTGTGGAGACATTCGCGGCCGGTGCGTTGATTCATGACCAACAGCGAAAGGACCATATTGAAGGGATGCTTTTATTGATGAAAGCAAGAGGCCCGCCCAAGCTAGACGATCAGGTTGAAGTTGACATCGCAGCCCATTGTTATGTTGGAGTGGTAAGTCATATTTTTCACCAGTAATCTGATTGGAATCCCTAAGAGGCTGACACTAACTATTTCTCAATCACAGAGGACCTATAAGTTTCTCAATGGCAAGATTGAATTTCTTGAGTCGCAGCCATGCAAGGCAGCCATGGATGAAGTAATCCAAAGGACCAGTGGGTTCGATTCCGATGATCCAATGGGAATTCTTATGACTCGTTACCAAGAGATTTGGCCCGGTTGGGTTCAAGACGCTAGGTTGATATCAGGCGATCCAGAGACTTTCAAGTAGAAAGCAAAAGGCCTAACGGTAGAATCTCTTATATCTTTATCCGAATTCCAGGAACTCGAAGCCCATGACTGGGAATCGATTGCTGCAGAGGGAAAGATCAGGCAAATATCTGACCCTGATTTCTTCGTTGGCAGAAGTTACGATGTTGATGATCTCGAACCAGCGCTGAGTCTCCTCGACTCTCTTCTTGTATTCGAATGTCCTACGACTTTGAGATCCTGTAAGATTGGCCGTTGGCGGAGTTGACCATGTCGAGAAACCGAGAGCTCTCTTCTCGAGCATGGATGCTCATTCCTTATTTGAAAACCCAGAAACGCGAAGAGATATATTACTTCTCGGTGCTCTTTAAACTCACATTTGAAGTAGCGGAGAAACGGGAGCAAGAGCATTTGATGGACATCGTTGAGTACCTAGACTGTGTCTCCTTGGAGCCGGGCCAGAATAGAACCGAGGTTTTGACCAATTTGATAACTGAAGAGGCCAAGGTATTTTCTGGTCGTCTTGTCCTAGAGCGTTAAGATCTTGTGACCCTGTTTTGTTGGTCTGAGATCAGTCTCGGGAATCTGATCTAAAAGTTCATGGGAGAGAAAGGTCCCGCTTAGACTGAAATTATCCGCAAAGGTAACAGTTCTGTTACGGGCCATTCTGTGTCCCTTCATCATTTACCGCCAATGTACAATAATATACTAGTCTGCTATGCATTATTCTTGTTTGTCTTCTACTTTTACGATATTATACGTATTTCAGCATCGGGCTCCTTCTAGCTTTCTTCTAATATTTTTTCAACACAACCCGTAATCAAACAAGATAATTTAATAGAATAGCATTTTCTCGTAGTTATAAAGGCTATTGCTTATTTAGCACCTAACTAAGACCCTGCCTTACCTGCTCTCATGAAATATGGATTCTCAACCTCGACTACGAAGTATACTTTCTTTAGGAAAGTGAAATAAATAATGTTACATTATCACTAATAGGCTAATATCTCTTTAAACATCTCTAGTCAAATGTCATTTTAGTATACTACTAGTGTAGTACTTCTTAGTTTTCCACCCATACAACCAAGAGCTCAAGGATACAAGTCATATAAAGACTTTAGTGAAAAGCAGTCTCCTACGGAAAATGTTGTTTTGCATTATTAACTATCTAGTCTAGATAGTTCCCTAACCTTAAGCCTCCGTCCACGCACTCTTATCCAAGTAGAATTGATTAGTTTTACCTAAAAACATTTGACGTGGGTTGTCTACTTCCAGCATCTCGTTGGACAGATTCTGAAGATTTTCTGGCGAGTTGATAAGCGTGCCTTTTGCTTTGTGCCTCTTGATGACGTCGTTAATGTGGCTGAAAAACATTCCGGTTGCAAACTCAACGATATGACCAATCCTCTCAGTTATGTATTCGATTGTCGTTTCAGGGCCCTGTTGCATGCTCATAGGCCTAGGGTTTTCAAGTTCCGCACCAGGCAAGTAATTCTCCTTGACATGACAGTACAGTCCATGGTTTGCCTGCTTTTCTGAGAACTGAAGATCTTTGTCAACGGGATAGATAGCGTCATGACGTCCGTGGCTCGTGCGATCGACGTAGAAAAAAAAACCAATGATTATCTTCTCGTAAAGCGGAACCAGGGAATTATCTGAAGCTTTTGGGGTCACCTGCTCATCAAGGGGCATCGCTTCGCTAAAATTTCGAGGAGTATTCACGTCACCCAGATCTCTCAGAGTACTCTGACTATCCACATATGAAAAGTCTTCAAGGGTGCGCGGAGTATTCTGGTCATTTGGACGGCTCACATCAGGAGTAATCGGTCGCTTTTCCACGATACAGACTCTAAAAATTGGGATCGACATCTTGTATGGTGGCGGATTTTAGGTTGTTTGGTGTTGTCTGCTGTTCAAGACGATTTCTGACTGAAAGTTTGATAAAGATGGTTGGTGATGAAGAGTGTGAATGCGGATGTTAGGAGAGGAGGAGAAAAGGATGTAAACGCAGCAAAGAAGTCTCTTATATACTTTTTTCCCTTTCCAGCGGAACCAAAAAATAATCTATCAAGGCTCGCTGTGATCGTTCTGAAACAGCTCAAGTTGCTCTCAGTATATTGGTAAATACTAATTGGCTTTTCCCGCACGTCGATCCACTAGAGGATCTGGTGATGATCAAAGGCATATATAAGAGGAGGAACAATAACGATAATGAAACAGATCAAGCCTCCATGGTTTTATAACAACTTTCTGGCAACGAGATAAGTACGGTTGGATGCCTTATTTGTCTCAATGATTTACAGAACATGGCCCTGTCTTTGAATACAGATGTCGTGAGACAAACGCGCACTGGACGACTGGTTAATTCGGTCATCAAGTTAAGGAGTGACCACAGATGCCATACTGCAGATTATGACTTTGTTGCTATAAACAAAGGAACATTAGTATTCATCATTTACAGGACAAAATCAAGTGAGAGGTTCCATAAAAAATATGCGTTGAATCACCTACCATAACGATGTATTGAATCATGTACCAGAAAAAAGATGCATTGAGACCAAGAGCATTTGGCATTCTGGATGTAATCAAACTGATGATAGCCCGATTGTTCGAGAACTTTTATTCAGTGACCCTCCCCTGAAGTAATGAGCTAAGGTAATAGGCCATAGAAGCGAAACACTGTGTTTTCAAGCTTGGAACAAGCTGCATCTATATTGTCGCTTTATACTTGGAGAAAAGATTCAAGCCAAACCCTTGTAGCTCGTCAAACTAGCTGGAACGGTCCCTAAACGTAGGAGAAGTTTCAATATAGGTTTACACTCTTTATAGTGCATATTCATTATCCTGATACATCTAATGACTCGTCAAGTCATCTGTATTCATCTATATCTCTAGTAATATTTATGCTGTTCTGGAGTTCCCTGCCTACGCTGTTCATAAAAGAGCCTCGGATATTTGGATCCCGGTCCTATGCTCCAGTAATTCAGTTGAGACTTCTCGTAAAGGTAGTGAAACTACTTGCACAAGACAAGTCTCTCGCGGTATCCATGGCACCCTATGCAGACCAGGTGCCTTTCATGGCGTAAATCTCAACATCTCAATGTTCTGGTATAGGAGTGGTTCTCCAGCTGATGATCTATCTCTATGTTTGCATGATATTAAGAGGTAAGAATTCATCAGCACACACAGAGATTGGTTCTGAAGTCAGAGGGGCCAGGGAGCTATTAAGGAAGAGCGTGGGGATGAGGTAATGAGATTGTAGAGAATGGGGGCTTGACCCTGGCGGGTGGTAAGCGCCATCTTCAGAGGCTGAACCTGTGATTGTCATGAAGAAGAAGGTGGCGAAGTTCGATAAGGAGGAGAAGAAGAAGAAGAGGAGGAAGAAGAAAGGTAGAGAGTAGGTAGGTACAATGGAGTGGATACGGAGGAACAAAGGGAGGGAGAGAGAAAAAGAGAAGACTATAATCATTGTTTGTGAACCAGCCTCCCGGCCCCGTGCCCCAAGCTGGTGACGTCTGTGCGAGGACACGCGATAGGCATTGCGATTTTTGCGAAGCTATGAGTCCTCATCTAGCCTCTCGATGATGCACGGCCGCTTTCTGGATAGTGATGAGGGCATCGGGTGCCGTAATAGCCGCTTCGACGCTGGTTGACGACCCTGCAATCAGCAATAAGGCGTGATTTAGAGCTACTATTATGGGAAGAATGAGTGGAATTAACGCTTTGGCTGTACATTTTGGTGTGAATTGTGACACCAAAAAAATTTGCCCAGGACGGAAAGTGGGATTATTTCTGTATAGTCAAGCCCAACCTAATATCGCTGTGTATTTAGGCTGTATATCGCATGGCATGTTCTATTCTATTCTTCTATCCCCAACTCAACTCTCCTCTAGTTATCAAACTACCTCGGATGGAAGGTGAAATCCTTCCTAACACGCTAGACGGCGCCCAGAGATTGTAACCCTTAGACGTTGTCTGCTTTGGCCTTTTTGGTGCCTCGGACCATGAGCCAAACATCACGCCAGAAGCCTACAGGCGCGTCTTCCAATGAAGCCTCGTAGGCATCAATGAGAGGGGCCTCCCATACCAGATCGATGTCTTTAGCCCTGATGAACTTGGTCTTCTTAATGAGTTTCCAGCCGAGGAAGAGGCATGGTACGAAAAAGGGCATGAAGTATGCGGTAACGAAGCCACTGGCACTAAATGGGACCACCGACCGATAACCATAAAAGACGATGATGATCAGCTCCGAGATCAGAGCAAACCACGCACCGTAAGGCTGGAACCAACCTTTGTAAGGCAGCTTGTCGCGATTGAATCCCTGTACCTGGCAGGCACGGTAGAATCGAATGTAAGTAATGAGAGCGGTGATAAAGTAGATCAGGGTTGCACCAGTAGCAAGGTTGATCAGCCAGGTGAGGACGGTAGATGAACCACTTCCGAGCTGTAGAAAGGCAAGGAACGGGAATATCATAGTAACAAGAAAGCAATAAATCGGGATTCCAGACTTGGTGACCTTTCGTAGGAATTTGGGGGCATGTCCCTCCAAGGATAAGCCATAAAGACACCTGGTAGCACTATAGAGGACAGTATTGCCAGCCGCGAAAATTGTAGTAGCAAATAAAGCGGTGATCAAGTGAGGCAGGCCATTGATGCCGAGGTTTTCCATGGCAATGATGTAAGGTGAGGCGGCGGCGCTTCCAGTGCTCCCATGGCCCTGGCCATAGAGTTTTTCGAGGACCTTATCATGGGGCGAAACAATGATGGTGACAGCAAGGCATCCACCGATGAAAAAGACCAATATGCGAGCAAAAAGGGCCTTGTGAGCCTTCTTCACATACGTACGGGGGTGCTTGACCTCGCTGGCTGCAATGCTGAGGAACTCAGGTCCTACAAGAGTAAAGGACGCGGTCCACAGAGACGCAAGGAATCCCTCAAACTTCCCACTATTCCCTGTACTGTAGTATTCAAGAAACGCTCCGGGATCTTGCCAGTGTCGGAAACCATAAGCATCGTGTTGGGGGTTGCCGCCGCACATCGTGACCAGCGTGAACATCATGAGAATGACTAGGAGTAGCGCTTTCCCGCCACAGAGCCAGAACTCGGCCGCGCCGTAGATTCGAACCGCAAAGATATTGATGACGCTATATAGCGGAAACAGTCAGCCATACCCTGTTCAAACGGGTTCGGTTACTTGGAAGACTTACAAATAAAGCACGATACAGACCGCGCATATGGCTCCTGCCGGGATATTAGGGCTCCAAAATGATAAAACCAAGCTCAGTGCTGTGATTTCGAAGGGTACGATGAGACCAAGATAGATGTAGAAATTCCAACCACCGGCAAATCCAAGAGCTTTGTCAACCCAGTGGCCGGCCACGCGAATGAAACCACCACTAACTGGCATATATGTTGTCATTTCGGCCATGGAGTTGTTGATATTCGCGAGGATAATGCTGTAGACGATAAAACCGAGAAGGAGGCTGGCGGGACCTGCGGAATATAGAGTACCGCCAATGCTGACGAAGAGCGCGGTGCCAATACCGCCTCCAACACCAAGCATGAAGATGGTTCGGATTGACATCTCTCGGTGAAGTTCACTAGCTGTACTAACACGATGAACCTCACCGGTGCTGGAGTCACCCCCCTCAGCGTGAGAGGCCTGGGCAGGCTTCTCCATCGAGGTGCGTAAGGATGGCCCTTCTGATGAAGATGGATCTGTTTTCTGGCCAAGCATTTTGGTTTGGTTCGTATCTTGATTTTGGAGTAAATTGCAAGTTAGGAACAAATGAATGGAAAGAAGGAATGATAAAGTGAGATAACAAGGCTGGGAAAACCAAATCGAGATCCATACTTACTTATATATATGGCATGGATGGATGGAAAGATTCAATGGAGTTAAGAAGGATCCGAGTATGGCCCCATGGGGTATCTTGGAGTATGGGGTAATGGAACCGAGTTTTCGTGATAACAAGAAAAATTGACGGGGCTGCCTCAGTTGGAACTTCCCCAAACTCTCATCGACATGCCCGGATAAGCCGAGTTTGAAGCGAGTCAGCATCATTGGAAAATATCCACATTTGACCCTGTTTCTATTTCATCATACTACAGTACGGTGGACTGTTTCCATTTCGGGTAAACATATGAGCGTTTGTGGAGATTATTTGGTAAATACTGAGAGCTAGAACCAGAAGCCATCGGATGGATAGCCCTTCAAAGTTCCATATCATAAAATTGCGTGCGCAACTCAGATGTACGTAGAGGGTAACTAGAGCACTCGAGAAGATCTTTTATCCATTGGGTTAGGCTTTCCAAGTACCTACAATCGAATAGAAACCAAAAAACCACTGTGGGCATAGGTCACTCAGCAATCCTATTGGGGTGTTCAAGATTTGCGTATGTACTTGGGACCCTGGTACGTGCTACGAAATTGGGCCAAAGCGTTATTGGGCTTTTGACGCAGGCAGTAAGCGAACATGGTCCTTGGTTGCGTTCTGTAATTTGTTAGTGCAGCCTGCTTAAGAGAGCATGGAATAAGGATGGCTCTGTGAGTTTCACATCTTAGACGGTTATCCCTTCTCAAAGTGTGATATGCCGTAGAACTGGCTTTCCTACTGCCCTTAACAATGGGGCGCCTTCGTAGCCGCTGCAAGTTCTTTGTTCAAGACAGAAAGCAAACAGGCATAGCGCAAACCCACCCCTATTTAGTAGGTCGAATGAGGCGAAATTCCAACTCTCCGGGTTCTGCTTCCGAACCCTGCAAAACGCTCCCGAGCTCCACAAGTTTACGAATTAGAAGCTACATCAATACGCTAGACTACTTGACTACTTGACTACTACACTCTAACCCGGTAGAAGTTTCAATCAGACTGACAATTCCCCTGCCTGTGTGAGTTACTTCTGTACATTGTGCCCATGTTCAACTAGAGAAACTCGCTGATCAACCCCATACTAGAGTGACTTGTTTCCAAGTAAAATGAGCGGATAGGTGTCCCAGGTCACTTGCGTGCCAGCCTCCGGAAGTTCTTTTGTGGATGTGAGAAAGACCTTTCCACTCATATTGATTCTTCACTTGGTTCCGACCCCAAAAGCAGGCTGCGACCAGGTGATGGGAGGTACAGAGCGGGCCTCGCCCGTTCGCAGCCTGCAAGGGAGCAACTCTCTGGCCGCTCCGCAACAGCTTGACCAATCTAGCTGCTCAACATATTTCAGGGCCGATAATGTGAGGCACGTGGGCCAGTCTGACTTGGACTGCAATCCCCAGACCAACCATCCAGCGGTCAAGCCTAGGGAGTCGTTACGGCATTTCCCGAGTTCACTTTGGTCCAACTGTTCGCTCTAATATCTGTGCTCGAACAGGGTGGGTTTGGCGCCTGTCGGGCCCCAGTGAAGCCCGAGCACCTCGAGGCGTGACATGGTTGCTATGAGAAAACAGGTGCGAATGACAGGACCCTGCGCGACTCTGCTGAGCAGTTAAGTCATATCGTAGTAGATTTCTTTCCCGCATGCTTTGGGACAAAGCAGGCTCCATATCACAGCAATATCGCCTAGTCTCAAAGCTGTCCGATTCGTGAGCAGGGTTCGCCTCTCTCAAAGGGTAAGCTGTGACCGGCCGAGGCGCCCTCAAAGAGGCTGAGGAGTTTGGGAGTCTCTCCACCATGAGCCTGACTTTTCCTAGACGGTTCATCCGCTTGGCCATGTCCTTCACCGAGATGACCCTCCAACAGGGTCCAGGTCCTTGGGTTCCACTCGCTGTCTCGCCACGCATCATGCATTAGCCCCATGTCCTCTTACTGTTTGATGCAACACATTCCATGATATCTCTGTCGTCGATCACTAAGACCACTGCCGCGTTACCCAAGACCTTGTTGATATTGGCGTTGGCCTCTCTACTTGAGTTATGCTTGTCCGGGATGCTAGCCGGGTCGGTCTAAAAGGAGTCGCAGTGGGCATTCCATTGCCTTTCGCGATAGCCCGGTACGACTGGTAGAGACACGAGTTGATTCCTAGATGCGGGCGACCGGATATGGCCATGGTCCTGCGGCTTGCCGGGATATATTGCAATTGCGTAGGCAGTACTTCATGGTCCGTAGTGTTGACCGCCGGCGGAGCTTTGCAACGTAGATAAGGTTATTTGTCCCATTTGATGTGATGACAGCTATTGTTATTGTCGCCTTGCTCCCACTCGTAATCTACCTGGCTGGTGGTCACTTCTCCTACTAGTTGGTCGGCCGTATGGCTCTCGGTATTGACGCCCAAGGCAACAGCGGGACACTGTGGAAGGAACAGCGACTCACTAAAGAAGAAGAATGAGACTCCAAAGAGTCAACGCCGGTACCGGACGCTTTACATTGTGGACTGCCAACTCCCACCCCAGAGCGACCCCATTCACTGCGCCATCCCATTTACCCCGATCTCTCTACCTATGGCGCGTTGCCCGCCCCAGAGGCTACCTCATGAGTAACGAAGAAATCCCGGTATGCATGCTCGTGGTAATCCACGAGAACGCGTCCACCTCGTACCTCTTTTCACCAAATTGTCAAGAGTTCCCAATCATCACTTCTACCACAAGGTAATGAAAGAAGCTCCCACTTCATAAAGCCATCAATATAACACTCGCCCACAAGATAATATCCGCCTTGTCTTGCTGGTCGCAATATGAAAGGAACTGATACACCCGCAAATAAGCAGCACACATCGCCATGCTGTGTAGCTAATGGTCCCAGGCCTAATTTGCCAGAGCTTGTACGAAAGAGTCGCCTGTTATGAGCATGCTTGAGATGAAATGCGTAATCTAGCCCTTCGTAATGGTCATTTGGGTTCGGTAGCCCTGAATCTAACGCTGCAGCACGTCGGACGATATCCAGGTAGTCCTCATAGTACTCTCGGGTTCTTGTCATCTCTGAAGGGTCACTGAGCTGCCATGGTGCAAACCCTACAGCCAAGACGGATGGAAATTGATTGAGCAGTTTCTTCTCGGAATATGGCCAGTTATCGCTCACTTCCTCATAAAGAACGTCAATGAATGGAACTTTGTTGGAAGAGAATGTAGTGTCCCATTCAGTTCGGTCAAGCGATAGGTTGTAGTCAAGCATAGGCTGTGACACCCATGATGCCTCATCAAATATCAGGGCACGTACAGAGAGCGACTTCGAGGCGTTTACTTCAATCTGGAGGGTCGATTGAGGACCACCGGCAGAGAACCAGAATTGTGGGTTGCCGAGAGGAGCCGGGGAAGAATCCTGACCCCAGCGAGGCACCCAGGAAGGAAGATCATTAGAAGCATGTATTTCATCTCCCGAGATATGATGGGTGTGAGATAAGACATAAGGTGCCTCGCGAGGTTGCCCAAGCAAAGTGCAGGCAGTCTGGAAATAGACGTCTTGCCAGGACTTGTTATAGTCTGGCGTGATAATCATTTGACCGTAGTCTGATATTGCTAGCGGATTTCCTAGGAAGCCATAGACATAATCTCTAGGGTCCGTGGCCTTTAATCTTCTCCCGGCAGCGAGGACGTTGACAAACGCTGTTGGGATATTGCGGATCGCATTTGCTCGGTATGCCGCCAACGGCTTACTTCGTCGCCATGTTTGGATGTTGCGGAACCGACACTGCACGTATTCGAAACATTCTGCCGAGGCAACATCGTTGACGGGCCCGGATCGACTTCTTATATCTGGTCGCATTGCGAGCCACAACTGCAGCTCTACGTATTCCGCATATGGCATCTTGGACTCTCCCCAATGAAGGATGCACCGTTTCGCCATTCCCGTCTCTTGCACGACCCATAGCCTGCGGAACCATGGGAGTGTGGACAGCATTCTGAGCTTCTCCCACCGCGCAGGATCATTCTCAATTATGGTAGAGTTGCCGAGAAATGGGAGGTTTCCCCAGTGACCGTATCTCCGCAAGAGTTTCCCAAGGTAGTTGTTCGTTTGACATATTAATTCAAAGCAATCTTCTGCCACGTTGGTAGTGTCTTGCCCGAGACAGACAAGTACGCTCTTAGCACCTTCGTACACGTGGCCCATCTTCTGCACCTGTTGGTTCCGCTCCTCGACATCTTGTTGATTAATACAAATGGCGTCTGCCCAGAGTTGCCTTGGTTTATCTCTGTATCGGAGTTGGCCGAGAGCGCTCGCTAGGTTCGCTGTAACGCCAAGGGTTACATTATTACATTGGATGTCGACGAGATTGTTCTGATCTCCCCACGCGTAGGAGATTGCTTCATATTTATCTGCAGCGGCGGCTAAGGAAGTCGTTTTTAGGGTGCAGTGTAAAGGATCGTCCTTATTACCAGGTTCCAACACCACAAGACGTACTGAATCTCCGCTCAGTTCATCCTCATATACCCTGGAAAGAAGCCAGCTGTCCATAGTTCTCTCTAGTCTGCGAGACCATGCCTCCAAACATGTTGACGCAAGAAAAGATGCCTGTCAGGTCTGGACAACAGCCAAATACTTGAAATGTAGGTAAGTGGTACTGGATATTTTATTGGTGAGCTTCTGTTGTGACGTTAATCTCATTAATCATGCAGCTTGAGTTCAGGAATAGGAATGAGGGGTTATCGGCTAAAGTCTTGGGTTTAATGACTTAGATTATTATTAAGCTAACACCTTCTCCTCTCTACGGCGGTTACTACAGGGGGCGAAGATAAGCACTATATTAAGAAATCAAAAGCTCTAGCTAACATCTTATTTGGTAGAAGGATTTTTAATATTTACCCCTGTAACTAGGCAGCTTTCCAGAGTCACGTGTTTGCTGTCAGAGGATCGTGGATCGAGGATCGAGTGGGAATATTAATATGCAGGATAGGGTATCACTGCATCAATCCAGGAACCACATGGAGGAAACGCCCATCGAGTCAATACACGCGATATGAGCAGCCGGAAGCGCAAGCCTGGCGATTACGCCAAGGCTGTCGGTGCGCACGCTTCACGCTCCAAAGAAAAGCATGTTTTCTGTGGCGCCAACTTCCTACGCCTTAGCCTTTTGTTGAAGCAGAAATCCGCAGACCGTAATGACCGCTTCGATGGCGAGACTCAGTATCCATTTGTGTTGTTACATGATCTTGCACAGGACCCTAACGATACCAAACGAATAGTGCCATTTGGCCGGCCTCAGGACCTTTGGGACTTTGAAAGGGATGTGCCGGAGGGGCGTTCATCTTCCGGGTTGGTTCTCTTTGTTCGGGGTTACCCGTCGGCCGACTGGGTCAACACGATTGGGTCTAAGTACAAAATTGACCCTGAAATCTTTCGTGTTTATTTGACTCCGCCATGGACAGAGGATGAATTCTTTGACATGCCATCATCTGTTCGGATAGCATCAAACACCATCACTCTTAAGATTCCTTCTATCGGTAGATGTACTGCCTCGACTATCCCATCAGCTGCCGCTGGGAAATCCCTGGAACAGTACTGGAAGAATGTGAAACCCGGCGATTCGATCGTTCGGAGTTATTTCTGGCATGACCCTGAACTCTTCAGCATCGAGCAACATATCACGATATCTGTGAAAAAGCGAGGTCAAGGGTGGTTTAGTACGTTGAGTAGAGTTACCCTCTTTTTGGTTCTGGCAGATACTAACATAATCCCATGACACAGTTCTCGTCCTTGTTGACAATGGGAAAGATCTTGAAGACTGCCATGAAGGTCCATGGTTCGACAAAGATCCGCCCGTAGAAGAGGTTTTTCTCCCGGTTCTGCCTGCACTGCCAGGTGCTGCTCTTGATGATACAGCTTCAAAGGGTTTCGAAATACCCAAGCCACCGAAAGCAAGAGACCGAAAGAATAGCATACAAAGTGCATCCTTGCTGGGTCTCAAGTGTCTGGGCCGGACCGGTGACCCGCCTCAGTCTGATGTAGACCCATTACTCGCGGTACATGACCTCTTCCTTTTCGCCTTGACAGCAGAGAAGCAGTTCTTAAATATGGTTAAGACACGCATAAGCTTGGCGAATCATGGACCCTGGCTTGGCCACGATTGGATGCTGAAGACTCTGGACACCATGTTGCACCATCAAGAAATCCTTCAGGATCATATAGGATACTTGGCTGAAATCGTCGACTTTTTGGAAAACTACTCCCAATTACGATGGGTGAGAATGGAAGAGGCCAAGGAACAACGTGAACAAAAACTCTCCATCTTGGTCCGAGAATTTACAAACATGCTCCGAAGCGCAACAGCGCTTTCTAGACGGTGTCAAGACAGAATCAGCAACTTGAGAGGAACAGTCGCCATAATGGACTCCAGAGCTGCGTATGCCCAAGCTGAGACAATCGGAAGGCTAACAAGGCTCGCGTTTTTCTTTGTACCGTTATCTTTTTTGACTTCATTCTTCGGGATGAATTTTGTGGAATTCGGCACAGGAACTCTCGGCATCTGGGTTTTTTTCACGATTTGCGCACCGATGCTCGGGATATCAGCTATTCTTGGATTCATGCAGCCGTTGAAGGCCTGGATCGGATAATTTCATTTATCAAAGATGGCGTTGTGTCTGTCGTAGGAGAGTGAAAGAGTCACGGTGATGATAGTGGAATTATCAAGAAATCATAGCGCATTGGCAAGTTAGTATATAAGATCATCCAACTGTACGTATTATATTGGAAATGCGCCTCACATAGCTTACCAAAGAAGATCCCACATAACATGTCTCGAATTAGGTTTGCGGCAGCATTGACGCTATAGCTCATGTATGTTAAATATAAATGAAACAGGATGGGCAGTTCAAACCTCTACAGGGCCCAGTATTGTACTATTTCCTCTAGAATATGTTGGTCAACCACTCTCCCGTATTCTTTGGTCATAGCTGTGAAGAGCGTATCCAGCCTTTCTCTTGCTCTCGCCAGGGACACTTCATCACCGAGATGTTCTAGTGCTACAATGAGCTTCAGGAGGACTCTAGATAGCTCTGGCTTATAAAAAGGCTTATCCGAGAATACCTTGGCAGCGTGCTCCAAGAGCTCTCTAATGAGACGTTAGTCACTTAATCCCGCTTGAAGAATATACACAGTTCAAAATACTTACACCGCACGGGTCCAATTTCCATTGCGAAAGAGGTGAGAAGCAAGTGTGTGCGATAGGCCCGCTACTCTATAGTGGTTCGGTCCGAGAGTCTGATGATATTGTTCACGAGCAAGCCAGTGCGATCTCTCTGCGTCCTCTAGTAGGCCTTGGCTGATTTGAACATTGCCGAGTGTGAGGAGAGCGAGCCCCGTTCTGTGACCATTATGTTAGACTCTCAACTGTTAAGAACACTTCGCGGGATAGATCTACTTACTTGAAAGAGGTCGTGTCATTGCTGCCATGCATCTTGGCACGATATTCCAGAAGCTCAGCGAGCTCTGCTGCTGCATCGTCGAGTCTGCCAAGCTGCCAAAAGCAGAACGCCTTGTTCACCCTTGCGAATGTGGATGACTCAAAGTGTTCAAAGTGGCCTTCTTGTTCAAGATATGTGGAAATTGCTTGATCGCAATATCCGATTGCCTCCTCCAACCTTCGAAGATTTGCTAAGGCCTCTGCCATCTCATTATAGGCTTGGCCCAGGCGGTGGCCCGGTTTATCATTGCTGGCCTCTGCGGCGATGCAAAGATCTAACGCTTGCTTGGCGAAATTAAGGCCAATCTGGAAGTTCGCTGTGTATATATGAACTTCTGCCTGGGCATGCAAAGTCTCAGAGAGGCGTACCAAATTGGGCGTTGGCAAGGACTGGATGATGTTCTGACTTGCTTCCTGAAAAGGCAAGCTTTGCAAAGGATAACCTCGTTCTAAGTAATACCTGCTCTAAATTTTAGCAAATATTCTGGTCAGATATATAATTAATTAACTTACCATCCCGCATCTGATAGAAGATGGGCAAACCTTTCCATCGAAGTATGATTGAACTCAGCAGGTAGCCGGCCAATATAAGCGTCCATTAAAGCTTGGATGTGAGGGAAGATTGGCTCGCAGACTGTCCATCTATCTGTACTATAGTCGTTGATACCAAATGGCCATGACTGATAAAGTAAATTAATACCGAGGTCAAGGATTTGCGAAAATCGGCTCGGAGTCATCCTAAGTCGAGCAGAATCCTGCACTAGTCTATGGATCGTAACTTCTTTTGTTCGAGTATTTCGCCTGATGAATGAAGACCGGGTAAGTTGGTTTCGAGCCTCGATGTAGGATTGGAATGTTGATGGATATTCCTGTGGCCATAAAAATGTCTGCTCGGGTGTCTTGTCTTGAATAATCATCAATATCTGCTCTGAAATCTGGTCGGGGTCCATCAGTGCCAAAAGATCTAGCAGGCAGGCCGCAGAAGCAGTCAAATCCCCCAAGTTAAGAGACGTCAATATGCTTTGCATGTAAGAGTCGTTCTGCTTGAAGCCTTCTTGAGAGCTATATAGCTCTTTGCGTGTTGCGTCATCTTCTATGAGCTTGATGAGCTCTTCCAAGCTCAGATCGCGCCGAACAACTATGCCCGCAATATGGGAAATGCCCAGGGGCAGTCCACCCAAGCGTTGCGTAATGGCGTTGGATAATTCAACATCCTCTTCCGAGGCGTTGAATCCAGTCAAAAGACGCAAAAGAACGGCCCCCTGTTCATTTGAGAAGGGCTGGACCGTCAAGCCCTGTGATATGGGTATATATGACCTCGTCAGAGCCAGCGGATCTCGACTGGTAATGATTACAGAACCACGTCCTGTCACTGGCCAGTAGTCCCCCAACACAGCCAAATCATCGGCGTTGTCCAAGATAAGTAGCCACGATACAATCTGACCATTGGCTTCGGTGGCAGAGTGCTGCCGAGTCCGACCTGGATTGGACAACCATTGAAGAACCAAATCCCTGCTGACAACTTGGTCATCTGCGCCTTTCTTATCTTCGAGGCCCAGCTTAATTGAAATCTGCGAGTATCCCTGTGCGAGCTTGGCGCCGGTGGCCGCCGACACGAAGAAGATGGCTTCGAAATGATTACGTCTCGAATATGCGTACTCGACAGCGATTTGAGTTTTTCCCACGCCGCCCATTCCGGTCAGTGCGTAAGTTCGCAGGGAATTGGTTTCATCTTCAACCTGTGGGGGACTTGGGATCAGGATCTCGTCCATCTTGTCGAAAATCTGGTCACGGCCAAAGAAATCTGCGTTTCTGGTCTGGGGTCCAAATAGGTGGCATTTAAGGTTAAGATTCTGTCCTCCAGTCTCGACTGGCTGTGGAGTTGGTGACCGCATTAATTCGTATGAATACAAATCATCAGAGCCTGCTCGCGCTCGAAGTGAGTCGTATGGAGTGCTTGATGATCCGGTGCTTAGACCAACACTGTTTTGAACTTGGATTGTATCAGTTAAGTAGTCACTGAACGAGCTTGAATGAACTCACCTCCTACCCTCAACCCCATTTCCGAGTCAGTATCTTTCCACTTAGTATAGCTCATGGCATCTGATGAACATTATTAATAAGAAAAAAAAAAGGAAGTCGGGCAAGACGTGCCTATTTGTGACAAGGCATAAGTGCTAAGCGGAGGAGCTGTAGGGACTTCCTTCAGCATTTTCTCAATGGAAAGGTGGAGGGAACCCGTTGCCGGGACATCGCAGATGTCGAAATGGCTGACATCAACGCATATCAACTCCTCGTCAACGACGCCTATCTCTGCAGTTTCCCTATCTACAATCTGATGCACCGTTAGGCATGCATGGTTTAATGAGAATGATAAACTTACAACATCATATTTGGATCCAAAAAAACCGCTGGAAGTTTTGGTTGGCGCGGATTCGTAAGCTGATATCACGTCGAGTTGGACCGGTAGACTCTCAAATCTCTTAGATAGCCTCGAAACAAGTATATTCCCCCCTTGCAAGCTCTGCAAAAGTTGATTTGAGAGTCCTGTGCAGGTCTTGAGAAGAAGATTCAACTTATTGTATGGGTCCAGCTTATTCACCGTGGGATGTGGACAGCCGAGGAAGATGGCCCCATGAACAGAGTCTATAATTTCGTGGAAGACTGGCGTGTCATTGCGTTCCATCAAGCGGACAAGCGCCTGTAGAATTAGTCATTGGACCAAACCATACTATACGAGTAATAGGTTACCTGTTTACATATGAAGCCTCCATTACCGTGGCATACGAATATTAGGGATCGTTTATGCAACTGATTAGGTTAGTCAATATTCTCACAATCTGACCGGGCACTAGAATGTGGCACCTCGAGGCTCGCATAGCTCGAGGCTAGCTCATCAAGTAGGACATTGCCATGTTCTAAATATTTGGCCCAAGAAAATTCCCTCGGGTTTTCGATTTCATAAGCAAACTCTAAAACACATGCCCGAACTTCGATGCTGGGCAGAAAGTCCTGGAACCAAGTTTGCCCTCCCATACGCCATGATATCGAAGGGCGCCCAGATATCTCGGGGATAACGACAATACTAGACTTTGTTTAGTTATCACTATTTTCATCCAACAGGAGGGTAGACATGCTTGACATTGTATCCAGAGCCTGAGCTAGAGATCGAAGGGAACAGTGGTTGAAGCATGCTACCAGGATATGGCGTGCTTCATTCGTATCGCTGAGGTAGTAGCGCTGTCTCGAATACCGTAACCGAGTACTCAATCCTCGGAAGCCCCTCTCTCGCCCGCGCATCAATTTTACAATACAGGAAAGAACAGTAGCAGCCAAAGGATCAACACCATTCTACAACTCAAGGCAAAGAGGGCGGGCAATGCGGACCATTCTACGTGGAGCGCCCCCTCACTCACCCCCCCACTTGTAAGGCTTTCGGATGCCCACATTATCACACTGTTGATGTTACGATGCATGAAAGATATGTAGGATGCTGACGCCAACACATACTTGCTAGCTTGGGCACTACCACGGATTTTTGTTGAAATGGGGGGAACTACGACGTTAACAGGGTCTTAGACTGGTTAAGATTGGCACATTTGTGATAAAAAGCGTCGTGAAAGCAACGATGACCTATGATATCGCTCCCGGAAATCACGCCTGAGCAGTATTTTGCTCACGCGCATACTACTGGCGAATGAAGTCGACCCTGCCACGTCACTGCAACCCTGCAATCCTACAATCCTACAATCCTACAACCCCTCAGCCCCTCGGTTAGGTCAACGGAGAAATCAACCGGATCGGGGGACCGATTCTCAATCGAAATAATGCGTAGGAAGACTCCTGGGGCGAAAATGAAACTGTATCCTGCCATCTTCTACTATTTAGACGAGATCTCTACGCAACCAAATAGTAACTGTATTTTCAGCCATATCACCAACAGCCCAATCTACGATCGAAGTAATTTACAATGCACGGGTACTATTAGAATTCATTGTCAATTCCCAACTCTCTTGGTGGAATGATGCTTACAAGCCTTCTTCAAACAGAACTCCAGTAGGCCCATTGACTCATCCTTCCCAGCTGCCCGACCTTAAACGGCAGCCATGGAAGGAGTTTTGGCCTCCGAGATGTGAGATCAAGAGAATTTCGAGCAACAGTGGTCCGGGTGGTACAGGAGCCATACCTACTACACGTGAGAACGGCTTGGGTGTGCACCTTTGGCGATTGGATGACACGGGTGAGCTGAAGCAAGTCCTCCAAGAAGATGCTGAGAAGAAATCCGACAGTGGAAGTACAACTGAGGAGAAGCCATCCCAGAACTGATTGTGGTTTGATGGATGTATTAGATTTATTCGTGATAGTCACTATTAACCATTCTATGTTATAGACATCCGAAGGCAAGAATAACTCAGTGAGATCTTTTGGCTTTTCAATATTCTCATAGATTGGGTTTGGTGCCCTAACGCTGTAATCAACATAGACAGATGGTGGTTATGTAGATACTAGTTCGAAATGAACTTGAGTATCAGGAAGTTATTATACAAGGACACAAAGTTAAGGATCAATAGTGAAAATTCATACAATAGGAGGGTTCTGAAATCACGAATTAGCCTAATTATTAATAAGATAGTGGATTAATTCACCGAATCTTAGCGAGCTGAAGGTATGACGCGCTCAACAGATTATCCGCGATCAATATTTGAGAGTTTTTAGAAGCAGGGGTTTCAACATGTTTGACAAGCCAGCGCATATCAGGCAGCGGATGAGACTCGTAAGCTGTTTGCTTCCGCCTAGCCTACCCCTCACGAGGCAAAGACTTGGAAGTGGGGGTGCTTGCATTGCATAATACGTCTAGGCGAGACAACCAACTATAGACGTGTCCCAGGGTGTTAATCTAATATTTATAAACCTTGAAATACTGATAACTACGGGTACTCCCCAGTAATACGGCATAGGCCTTGCATAGATTCCATGTCCTCCTTCACACCATCTAAAATGGACGTTTACTCGACTATCAAGTTTGTTAAACGTGATGAGAGCAATGAGAATGAGAAGTTATTCCAGCTCATGTACTTGGACCATGACGGGAATGACCAATCCAATACCCCCTTCACTAGTGCTCAGACTCTAGTCCATGATATTCGGCCGAAGAAGTCATCCCTCTCATTTGATAAGGAAGGCTTCGTCGTCCTTGATCTGGATTCCCAGATGCAGCCTGAAGATTTCTATGACCGCAACAAGGTTAAAACTATTTTTGGGACTCAACTTCGGGATGCGCTGAAAAAGCTAACAGGAGCCCGATGCGTCTACTTTCATGAGACTGTGGTATGTTCAAGCCATCTTCCGAACGAGGACTCTTAATTTACAAGCGGCGACCAGATTAGAGAGCGAGGAGCTGCATTTAATTCTTCAGAGGATGGTCTGATGATGAAAGCCAATAATTCACCATACGAACAGCCTGTTCAAGTTGCCCACGTTGGTAGGTGGTTGCACCTTTCGATGCCTATAATGCAAGTTTTATTTAAACTAGTTAGATTACACGGCCGACCAGCTGCGATATATCGTCCAGGAGCTGACTGGCGAAGAACTGGATGATGATATCCATCTCCAAGCTTTCAAGTATACTTATCTTTCTCCCTGGCTCGAAGTATCCTATATTCACGGTCTTATCGTGGCTAACAAAGACTTGTAGTGTGTGGAAACCACTTCGGGGGCCATTGAAAGACTGGCCTCTTGCCTGCTGTGATGCAAGCACCGCCGACTTGGAGACAGATTTCCATAAGATGGATTCTGTTTTTGCCGACGGATTCATCGAGGGCTATATCATGGGGCATAGCGCGAACCAAAAGTGGTGTTATTTGTCAGACCAGAGTCCAAACGAACTGCTCGTCTTCAACATTGCAGACTCGCATAACACCTTCCGCCCAGGTTCGTAGTGTCTACATGTCTACACTTACCGAAAAACTCATTAATAGGCCTCATAGTCCCCCATTGTGCATTTTTCAATCCCAATTGCCCCGAAGACGAGGAGAGAAGACAGAGTATTGAGTTCCGGTGTATCGCGGTCTATTAGCCAAGCTCTTCATGGTAGTGCTGGAATATCGTCGAGAAGCTACTTAAGTAGCAAGGGACTCTTATGCCTAAGTACGATATTGAATTGGGGGCCTATACTTCCCTGTTTATTTAGATATCTTAGTTCATATGATTTAAGAGTGCCACATATCTTTTCATATGTATAGTGTGTAGCTTTGACATCTCCATGTACCTAATTAAGAGAGAAAGCCTTGTCATGACATTTTTGCTCTTATCAACGACTTTCTTAGGATAGAATAATAAATAAAGCATTTGGCTGAATATCTTTATAACTGACAAATAACCATCAATTCTCTACTTGCTTGTTTAAGGGGCCTTGCTATTTAACCTCGATTCATGTGGCTGTCTTCCAAGAAGACATTTATTTCTCCAGTGTATAGTAATTGACAGGGTTAGCATTATTTGGAGGGTGCAAGGTTTGGACTGCAAAGAGGCCATCAAGCTTAGTGACGCGTCAAACTCAAATAACTCAGTGGCACCCCATCCGCCTTTGGAGAGTTTTACCCCATCCGCGAAGTAATTATGCTACATGTGTTACCATTCATTCTTCGCTCTTTAGGGCTTCACCTCGTGAACCATCAATTTCTCGATCAGTTCCCGGACGGTGAGATTTACATATTCTCAGCCCTTACCTGGGATGTGTTCCATACGTCACTCTCCATCTTTGCTGGGGCTCTTCGGACCATTTGAAATTGCTCAAGACCAATTTGTAGAGAAATTCCATGTGCTGCGCTGTCCAGAACCTACCAGGGCGCTTTCATAGTGGCCCTATCCTTGGGGTTCCGGTTTATCTGGGTAGATTCGTTGTGCATCATCCAGGATGACGCGAGGGATTAGAAAGAACAGTCATCCGCGATGGGTATCATATACAAGCATGCTCAGAGCAATTCTACTGCCGCTTGGGCTCAGGGCGGAACAGATGGCTGCTTTTGCTACCGGGAGCTAGAGGTCTGGTGGTTAAGCCTCCTATGGCTGAACACAGCTACAGCGTTTTCCTGGCGCAACAAATTACCCAAACGAAGACGTCGGGCTATTTCTGATCATTGTTTCTAGTCTTGTAGATCGAGCTGCTTTACTAGTGTTGCGAGTCATTTCTGCCACTGAAGCTGTGATCGGTAGACCAGACTCCTTCCACGACCATCAGTTGATCTCTATTGCTCATTTCATGCAATGCAACATGGAAGCGGCCCCCATAGTCGCACCTTTGTGGTGCCGTTGGCAAACACAGTCAGCTCTAAACTCGGTCTTAAGGCTCCTGTTTGAGACATTGTTGCAGCTAGGTCACCGGCAAAGTTCCACGGCCATGCACCCTCTCGTTGCATAGGCTGTTTCCATGAGCTCGCTCTAATTCACTTAGTCTTGTTGCCAGAGGACTATACAATGCCCTCGTTTCCGGCCCCAGTTTTCATGTTCGTTTTTACTACATAGTTGGCAAATCAATACCGTTCCCAGCCATCCTTGCAAATTCATCGCGCAGCTTTCAGCTCGCTACCGTCATCCGTGTCTCACTTTTCCCAAGGGCTGATCAGGTCCAGGACCAATTAGCAGCCTTGAACTCTCTAAATTAGGCCGAGCCCTCCGAAAAGCTTCGGGCGCACAGCCTGTTATATTGATCGGCATGAACACAGCCACTGCTTAGCCTTGACTTGTCACAGTAGATCTAATGGCGGCATGGTTAAGATATAGTTTATAATCCTCTCGATTGCGTTATCAGAAAGTAGCAAAACCGAAAACCGTGCCAATCGATTCCAATCTCAAGTCGGCTTAACATGTCGCATCTGAGAAATGAGTGGCTAGCCGGCCGCGGCCTGAGCTTTGATGTAGTAAGTATTGCTTTGGGCTCAATTGGACTTTTGAGGGGGTCGCTTAATTCGCATTAGGACAATGATCCCAGGATTGGCTCCAATCGCAATGTGTCTCTACAGGGAGAGATCCTCGGCCCCCCAGTCTCGAGGATTTCGTCTTTCCTCCCACTGGTGGGAACGCTTGTTCTTGTGAGCATATACTGCATAGTATGTGTTGTGCTCTTCTTAGTCATGCGGCCGCGGTGCCCACGCGTGTTTGCACCACGGACACAGCCAGGCTTGGTATCGTCACAGTTAGTAAACGCATCGGGATCCTGGGATTATCTGTGCTGTCGTACATGAGCTAACCAACTACAGAAGGTTGAGTCCATCATTACCCGATGAAGTCTTCAAATGGATCAAACCATTCTTCGAAATCCCGGATACCTTCATCCTGAATCATTGCTCGTTGGATGGGTTCCTCTTCTTGCGGTATCTCAAGGTTCTGCGTAGCGTATTCCTTGTCGGTTGCTGCATAGCGTGGCCAATTCTCCTCCCGGTACACATCACTGGAGGAAGGAGATTGAAAGGATTAGACCTCTTGACGGTTGGTAATATCGAGGATGATCGCAAATTCTATGCACACGTGATTGTGGCTATCTCATGGTTTAGTAAGAAGCCCTATATCATCGTTCTCGAAGACATACCGCGTCCCGCTAATAGTCACAGGTCTCATACTTGTAGTGATAGTGCGAGAAAATCTTTACTACATTAACCTGCGTATAGCATATGCCTCATCGCCATTCTACGCCGATCAGCTTTCATCCAGAACTATTCTTCTGACCCATGTTCCGAAACGATACCGTAACGAATCTTGCCTTCGAAGACTGTTTGGCGATTCTGTCAACCGCGTCTGGATCCCTAGAACCTCGAAAACCCTTTCTACACTCGTTAACCAAAGGAATGAGGTTGCTTCAAAGCTAGAGGAGGCTGAAGTTGAGCTAATTGTGAAGTCCAACAAAGCACATAACAAAGGTTCCAAACCCCATACCCCAATTCCGCCGCCAGCGGCACCGTCTATAGCTTCAATAGCCAACAACGCCACTGAAAACTACTCTGGGAGACCGGACCAGCAACCATCGGGAGTTGACGAGCCAGCTACAGGAATACTGACGCATAAGGGCTTCCGGCCACGCCATCGCCTTTGGCGTCAATTTGGACGCAAAGTCGACACCATCAGCTGGGCCCGCTCTCAAATCAAGTCTCTTAATACTCGAATATCCAAGTTGCGCCGTCAGCTCCGTCAAACACATGTGTCTACCTTTCCAGCTGCATTTGTCGAGTTTGATAACCAGGAGAGCGCACATGCTGCGCATCAAAGTCTCGCTCACCATCGACCAACACAACTATTTCGTCACCTTGGTATACGGCCAAACGATCTGCTGTGGAAGTCTCTGGGGATGGACTGGCGGGAGCGGGTTATCAGACAGTTTTTCGTCTGTGGGTTGATCGTAGCTGCTATAATCCTTTGGTCCTTCCCCACCGCAGTCATCGGCGTGATATCCAACGTGGAGCTCCTAAGTGAAAATCTGCCCTTTCTGCATTGGATGAGAGAGATGCCACACCGCCTACTTCGGGTTCTTCAAGGATTTGTGCCTGCCTTGGTCTTGACACTCTGGATAGCAGTGGTTCCCGCTTTATTACGATGTATGACCACTTTGACTTCCACCGTCTTCTGCCTTTACCCAATGCTAATTGTCCATGAAGTTTGCGCCGTCCAAGCCGGTTCTATATCGCTAAGCACGATGGAGCTTTTCACACAAAAGTCTTATTTCGCCTTTCTTGTCGTGCAGGTGTTCCTTATCACATCGTTCTCATCAACTGTATTATCAATGTTGCCAGATCTACTTGCCGAACCGCTCAGAATTCCAGATACTCTCGCAAACAGCATCCCAAGAGCCTCGGATTTCTTTTTTTCGTTCATTCTAATTCAATGTCTCGCCGATGGTGCTTCGAATATTTTCCCAATTGTCGATCTATGCCGGCACCATGTCTTAGGCCAGAAAACCCGCACACCAAGGATGCAATATCGAACCTGGAGAAGAATGAGACGAGTGCATTGGGGTACCGTCTTTCCTAGAATCTCTAATATGGGAGTTATTAGTGCGTCTGTCGAGAGCCCCAGCTTAAGGAATGATAGCTAACACAATACTGCAGCGCTTTGCTACGCCGGAATCGCTCCTATCATTCTCGTATTTGCAGCAGGCGGCATGTTCTTCCTGCAGGTAGTCTATCGTTACAATATCATCTACGTGATAGATTGCGATCTGACTAGTACCGGATTGTTTTACCCCCAGGCATTGTTGCATCTTATAACTGGGCTTTACCTAGCCGAGCTATGCTTGGTTGGGATATTCATCCTAAATTCTGCTTTTGTTCCAATGGCTTTGATGATTTCGTTCGTTATTCTCACGGCCCTCGTGCATCTTGAACTGGGCAAAGCCATCGATCCGCTGCTTCATAATCTTCCTCAATGTTTGTGGAGTGAGGAAAAGGACCCACCAGGTGAAGAGGAAAACTTGTTTCGACACTCAACGCGCAACGCAAGAAGCCCTGGCCATGTGGCCACAGTAGAACAAGTAGAAGAAAATGAGAGGCAAGATTGTGTTGAAGCTAATACAGACAATGGAGAGCAGCGTTTTGCCATGCCATCTGTCCTGTCAAGGTGCAGGTTCAGCAACATGAAGGCAGCCTGGGCGCAAACTTTGGAACCTAGAATACCGTGCGGGACGAGAATCTGTAACCCTTGGAACCTGATGAAGCAATTCTTCGGTCCCCAATGGTCAGTCGCTGATTTACGCCATAAGATCCTATCTCTCCATGAGACCGCATCCTCAGATGCCCTTCAGTCATACGAGTACCCGACTAAAGGAACAACGGAGGCTTATATGCCGCCAGAGCTATGGCTTCCAAAACCAACATTATGGGTTCCACAAGACGAGAAAGGCGTTAGCCGAAAGGAGATTGCCCAAACGAAAAGATATATTCCAATAACGGATATTGGAGCTAGTTTGGATGAGAGCGGGCAAATCGTGACAAACTTCGAAGATGCGCCCATCGATGAAGCAAAATTGAGTGGAACACGTTGGGAGGCAATAGAGAGTGCGGCACCGTCGTTACTAAGCCCAAGCGCATTAGGTTTATAAACAGCGTAATAATGATACTTATACAACGAGCAAGTCAACTTGTCAAATGGTTTGTTTATTCTTCTGCAATAAACACTTCTGTTTCTACCAAGTACTGCAAAGATATAATACCCTAAGCCCTGCTACATGACGTTGAAGAGTTATTGTAATCCCCGATGGCCTCTTTGAAATACGCCATCCATCTAGAGCTTGAACTGCTCGGCGGAAAAACTAGATGATCGAGGAAGAAGCTCATTTACCAGACGATGATGCGGTTAACACGGTCAACCGAAACATCATCGGCCTTGGTGGGAGCCTCGGCCTCTCGCTTCCAGACGATAATTCGATTAACACGGTCAACAGTAGCGTCATTAACGCTAGCGGGTGCGTCCTCGCGCTTGAGCCACTGAATAGGGCGATCAGCCCGGTCAACGCTGACGGGTGCGTCTTCGCGCTTTAGCCATTGAATGGGGCGATCGGCCTGGTCGACACTTGTTACGCCTTCCTCGGGCACAGGAGCGGCATTGGCGGTGCTGAACAAGGCGAGGCTGATGTGGAAAAGGGTCGATGGCTTCATGTTGGAGTAGATAAATCGTTGCTCGACCTTGTATGAAGAGAAGATGGAGTGTAATGAACAGACAAGTCAGAACAGGGCTTCTGGATCCTGAAGAGGGCTGCTTCCTACTACAGGTCTTTGCAATAACTCTTATACTTGCATGTTGGCTCGTCCTTCGATGCCCCTCTCGATAAGAAAGAGCCAACGTAGCATGAGGGGAGGGGTAATACAACATGTTCCAGATGACCGATATCCAGACGATTCCTTCAAGTCAGGATCACATCCTATCTCGGTGCTCGGAACTTTTGCAACACAACTAGCCATCGTAGAGCCACGAGACAACGTCTCGTCCCACAGGCCGACGTAACATCACAAGTGCTGGTCCAAACGTCGGGAAAGCACCTGGTCTTCAGATTCACGAACCAATGAAAGATAGATGTGATTACCTGGCAGGCAGGTTATCGGAGTAATTAAGCCGAGAAACATCTATCTATACCTTACTGGGAACAAGAGCTATCCTTCAATAGCAGAACTTTTGCAATGCAACCACGTGAGTGAAACTACACGCTCCATGAACTTTTGCGATGTATCCGCTTCAATGACGCTATACGCCCATCTACGATCTGATCTCGTTTATCAACCTATAAAACTTCTTCTACCCCCTGGTCAGTTATTCTTGCTGCTAGGATCCTTTCTGAGCCTAACCTCAATAGTGGGGAAGTTAGGGTCTAATCATCTCGAGGGGCGACTTGGCCTCTTGTCATTGATAAGAGTAGATGATGGGAGAACTTGGCATCATTTGCTCCCATATGGCGTTTGTCTTAAGGCTGTCGTTACTATTGTATTTAAGTTGTTGGGGCTGCTCTAAGTTAATATTGGAGCTTGTTCCATTAGAAGTAGGGGCAGCGATCAAAGGCAATCCTTTGACTAGTCAATGAAGTGAAAGACTTGAAATCTATTGAGCCACGGAACTTTCATAGGCCCCAACAAAAGTCCTGCGCAAGTTATGCTCCTTCGGTGCGAGAAGCAACGAGAGCTGATTGGGCAAAGTGTTCTTCGAGACAAGGATGTTGGAAGGAATGCCATAAGAATGTAACCGTAATTGAGGGATATACAGATAACATTAGACAGGATTGAATCCAACCCTTTTATGGTTCCATTACATACAATAAAGGTTATTCTGCCACGCATTAGCCGTACAGATGTCTTTTTTTTTTTTTTTATATTCGTGGCATTTAACAACGTTGGTGGATCATGTCTGTCAAATACAGTTCCTTGCCGTCTCAGGATGAGGGCCAATTGTGCACATGTAGTCACAAGATTGACCATCCTGTTTCCTCACGATGGAGGGTGAATAATCCTTCTTCCGGGTCCAGATACTTGCTCTATTCTTTTTCCTTGAACGGCATCTTGCTACTTTCCCTGGTCTTGTCTTGGGCCTACTTGTATGTATGGCGCCCTTCATACATTCCAAACGAGGTGTACAGTAAGGATTTTCCTCATTGCTCTTATTATCAGGGGGCACACATTCATTGTGTTGAGATGTCGGGTCTGCGATCTTTTATTGCTGTTTTTCATTTCATACTCGAACTCTCTTCCGTATCAGGACGCATACTAATATTATCGTTCACAAGCGCCTGCTCATTCGGCAGTCAAATACGAGCAAAAGGTATTTTTGCCAGCGACAAAGTCCGGTCGATCCCCGTACCAGGGTTCTTCAGATGAAATCAACCTCATGTGGGAGGACCTTTATAATGGTTCGTCTTCCTCTTCTCCTTAATTGTCTTGGATTCGCAAAAAAAAAAGAAAAGGTATTTGAACTCACAATGAAAGTGCTAGAATTCGCCATCTCTCTGATAACAGGCGAGGAGGCGGCTCGTCTGCCTAATGCCACCTCCCCAATGGCCCAAGAACCCACCAAATACATGGTCCAGCTTGACGTCTTTCATCAGCTTCACTGCCTCAACCTTATGCGAAAGCTCGTATATCCTTCGGTATTCAATCTTGACTTGACGTCAGGGTCAGAAGAAGCAGAGGAGAATTTGGATCATTTCGAGCACTGCTACGATTCCCTGCGGCAAGCGTTGCAGTGTAACGCGGATTTAAGCACAATCTACTATGAATGGGTGCCAGAAAGGAATAGGCTGGTAGGTAACTTGGCGACAACGCATACCTGCAAGAACTATGATTCAATTGTACAGTGGGCAAGAGATCGTCAGTACAAGGGGCCTCTTGATTACACAGCCAAGGTGGAAGGGGTTCCTATAAGGCATGTTTCGCATGTTTTGGGTGGGGAGAGCTCACATCATCACATGTAATAGCATAGGATGACAGCTACTGTTCAAGTATTGATAACATCCGCTATCATCTATTATTATCTATAACGTGTATATCTTAGATAATAAGCTCGAGTCTGCTCTTATTCATCATTGGAAAGTTATGTAATCACTCGCTTGCTTATAAATCAATAGTGAAGCTATATATATAGCGAAGATCCCTCTCGCGTAAGTAGTTATATCCGGGACTCGTAAGAACATTTGGACATTACTAAAGCTCCTATCACAATGGCACCAAAAGTCAAAGCCGTCTTTTTCGATTTTATGGGAACCTGCCTAGATTGGCATAGGAGTGCGGTAGAAGCATCACCAGCTTCGCTGTCGAAGGAAGAGGCCTCCAAGCTCGTCCTTCAATGGCGCCAGCAATACTTCAACGAAAATAGCTATCGCCTCCAGCAGAATCTAGCGCCGGAAGATATCAATATAACGCTTGCACGAGCTTTAGACATCGTTCTAGACAAATTCGAACATTTAAAGCCGCATTTCGGAGTGGATGAGAAGAAGCGCATGATCCAAGAGTGGCATTCGCAACAGGCCTGGCCGGAAGTACCAAAGGCAATCCAAAGCATTCAGGAGGATCTTGGGCTGGAGACCTTTGTCCATGCCAATGGAACAACCCGTCTTCAGCTAAACCTAACGCGGTCTTCTGGCTTGAAGTTCAACATGCTGTTCTCTAGCCAAATCTTGGGTGTATACAAACCTAATCCGGAGGCGTATACAAAGGCATTAGAATTCGTCCAGCTGAGACCCGATGAAGTGGTCTTAGTGGCAGCACACGCATATGATTTGCGAGGCGCAAAGAATTGTGGAATGAAAACCATCTACATCCATCGGTGGACCGATGACATTGAGGAAGATATGGAGCAAGTTCGTGGCGAGTTCGATGTTTTCTTGGAGAATATGGAAACCCTTCCCGCTGCGATTGCAAATCTTTAGCATCATAAAGTTTTCATTGGCTGTTTAATTCTGGAGATGGAACCCATCATTGGTTTAAGAGTGACGGACTGGACCTTCGTCATCATGAAATCAATTTGATGTGCCTACAACAGTCGATTAGTCTCGGATTTATAGCTTACCAATTCTAGGTAGGTGAAAGTTTAGCCCAAGGTCCTATAGTAGTCATATTTTATCAGAGTCGTGTTGACATTGTTAGTTTAAGGATGTGCAAGCTATTGCTGGGTTCATCAGCAACAAACATCCCACAGAAAAATTACAGTCGTAATAAAGCCGCATATTCGGTTTTTTTTAGCTTCGCTATTATTGAGATTTTACAACTGCGATGGACTTCGTACAATGCCGCGGATGATCAACTTTACATGAGTGAATGTATTGAGTAGATGAGAAGAAGTCTGAGGTAGATTGTTATTGATTACTATGCACAGGAAATTGGAAAGGATAAATGAAAAGTGTAGGGAAAGGGAAAACAGTAATAGCTTCCACTTCCAAAGCCTAGATGAAGATCTAAACTTTCTTGCTGTGAATTAGCTTTGTTGAAACTTCCTTACGTAGGCCTCAACATATACATAAAGCTCACCCAGAAGTCTACTGAAAGTCCAAAACATCGAGACCAGTTAAGCCTAGTAGAAATGTCTGCTCGCTATGATATGGCGAGAAAAAGTCGTCGTTCAGATATGAGTTGGCCAAATTAGCCACCTCACCCTGATATGTCTGACCTAAATTGCTTGGCAATGATATTCCTTGGGCTTCGTCATAACTCCAGTCATCTCCCCAGTTACCATTTAGAGGCCTTTGTCCCCAAGACTCTAGGCGAGGAGATCTAGCGGCATTAATTGTTGAAGCATGGTCATCTGCTGAATCAATCTCAACATTTGGAGTAGAGTGCACTGACTTGGAGAGCCACTCGCCCCATTCCTTGTATCCCGGCCTCTCTGAAGATGATCCACCAAAGGGTGAATCTAAAATGAGGACGGATAGAGATGGCGAAACCTGCTTTAATCTACTGGCGGCTTCATTTGCAATAGACCGTAGGGCATCGAGAAATTTGAGGCCTGATGTTGCGGCGGAATTGCCGAGAGACATTTTGTGCAGGCAGTCCATTGCAAACGCCACTCTGCTTTCGTAAGTTGCATCTCTTTCCAAGACTCCAGCCAGCAAGGTTATGGTTGTCGCAATGCTACATGCTTGGAAATCTGTGAAGGAGAATCGTACCATGTTGCCGCTGCGTGCTAGCCTGTCGAAAAGCTGGAGCATTTTCGTAGCTCCCTTCATCGCGTAACGTGACATTATTTCGATTCCTTCTTCAAGTACCGGAGGCTGTGCATCTCGTCCAAACAGAAACCGGAGTTTAGTGCGTACCAGGCTAACGAGAGAGATTCTACCCATTGTAATCCAGGCAAAGTAATAATTCATATGGAGGTGCATAACTGCTCGATAGGAATTTTGGTTAGGTTGTATGTTATCTGGTATGCATTCCGGGGGCAATTCTCTTTTCCATTGTTTTAGCTCTCTTGCATTTTGATCAGCTAGCTGAGATTTCGCATCGAGTGTCGATGCATTTCTGTAGGTTGGTCAGCGGATATACCGATTTATAAGGATAAAACCACTCACTCGGATTCAGCTACAAGATCTAAGATCCTCACTAGTTTTGCGTTGGCCAACTGGTGTTGCACATTGTCGAAGCTTGCCACGCTGTCTAGTGGTGACAGTGGTGACGGTAGGGGGGTTGTGATAGTTTCCACATTGATGGAACGGGACCGGTTCAGTTTTACTGTTAAAGTCCTACATAAGAGGTTAATGGCAGAGTCCTGAAGCAGATGCAACGATTCGGGGGCGAGAGCTACCTCTCGAGGGCATATATTGACCACCAAAGACGACGGCGAACCTCTCTTTCGCGCATAGTCGTCATGAAATCGTCCGCCGGATGATGCAGATCAAAGGAAACTGCCTTTCTCAACGCTATTCCTATGTAGATGTAGGAAGAACCAACTGCAGTTTGAGGAAGTAAATAGACTCCCAGGATAAATGTGGCCTGTATCGCCCTGAGACATGACCGTTCAATGACATCCGGTATCAGAAATTTGGCTTGTTCAAAGAATAGCTGGCCGGGATCTCCATCCTCAAAGTTGAATGTAGGGATATCTCTGTCTAGCCCTAGGGGTAGTGACCGTTGAGCTCCGAGTGCTAATGCTGAGAGGACGAGGCACATAAAGCTGGCATCATATCGGAGGGCTGACGTCGGATCGGTATAAAATTCATTGACTTCAGCTAAAAGCTGATCCTGGTCGAAGTAGAAGAAACTGTCTGTACCAAACTGAATACAAATTTTGAGAAGGAAATCGGCAACATGGCGAGGGGGGAACGAGTTTGCTGCCTTTCGCATTCGCGATAGATCTACAGCCGAAAGCTTCGTAGGTCGATAAGTCTGTAGGATAAAGGTTAGTCAGCAAATTACATACGGATGCATAAAGAGGTATCTATCTCACCGAGTGAGCTGCTGTGGGATATTCATCGGGAATGTCCTGATGGTCCAGGGAAAACACATCTCGCAAGTGGGACAAAAAGCTAGGCCAACGTATGCGCTCTAGCTGACTTTTGTGGACTGTAGAGGAATCGACTGTCTCTGCGGAGCCACTGGTGATATCATGTTCGGATGGCTGATTCAGAAGAGCCGATATAGGTGTAGGCGGTGATGCATCCGATGAGTGTATTTGCGCTGGCGAATGTGCAGTAGATGACCTAATAAGCAACTATCAGCCGTATTGTCTTAAGTGTGAAACAGTAGCTTATATCAGCATACCTCTCGAAGCTACACGATAAGTTGGCATCACGACACTTTTGACAAGGGCCGGCGCGAGGTCCAATGCATCTAACTTTTCTCGACTTGCAGCGCTCACACCTTGGAGGCAATTCATGTTAGCCTGGCCGTTCTTGAACACGTGGATCGGCATGCGGGAACCCATACGCTCGGACTGCCCTTTTCCGGTTCTCGTCGGCAACTCGCCGCCGACCTCGTCTACGGATCGCAGCAGCCGTGACTTGCCTCATGATGCTGATCCTGTGACTGGGTTGTAGTTGGCAAGCGAACTGGACATGTGGGCCGGACACTCCGGCAGATTGTCATCAAGAATCGCGGCAAACTGTCATCGGAAGGGCTTGGCTTGACAGACTCCCGAGGGCCTAACCCCGAACCCATGTGGGGATGCCAACTTAAGATGGCAGGCTTCAATTGCGCCCGAAGACTCTTTAGCATAAGAATAAGGTAATAAATCAGATTCTTGAGTTCAAGATTGATCTATTGAACTACAAACTGCAGACAACTAAGATAGGTCCTCCGCAACGACTGTAATCTCTGGAAACGCGTCTTTTAGCTTCAAGAGGGGACCACTGTCATCCTCCAAGACGAGCTTCGCAAACCCTAGAAGAAGACTCATGACGATCTTCTCCATCTGCTTCCCTTCTACGGTCCCAACCAGAAGTTTCACCAAATCATCATACTCCGCTGGTAATGGCCTCGCCGCAAGTATAACAGGCATGTCGATGTAAGAGTAGTGAGTCGCGCCTTCGACTCGGACTTGCATCTTTGGGCCTCTCAGCTTTTCGTAAAACGGCGCCCAAGTTTCATCGATCCCGTTAGCTGTGCCTTTGCCTGACATAAGAAATGGTTTATCCAGCCCGACTGCCTTGGACCGGGCCCAAGGGCTTCCATCCAAATCAATGCCCCCAAGCACGCGATTATCGTTAAGAGTGGCTTCTGCGGCTGTCGCACCACCAAGTGAATGACCATAGACAAAGATCTTCCGCAGGTCCGCCTTGTTTGTAATTTTGGCCGGGATCTGATGATTATTGGAGTGAAATAAATCAATGACAAAAGTGACATCTTTTGCCCTGACCTGTATTCGATTGATTAACGACAGACCCCAATAAATTGCCAGGTAAACGCTGTTCTGTCACTTACCTCGGTAGCTAAATCGGACTCGCCATCACTCCAACCAACGGTGCCGCGGACAAACGAACCGTCAGGAAACTCCACAAAAGTGGCGTCGTAAGGATGATCAATAGTGACCACAACAAATCCATAGCTGGCGAGCGCTTTCGCTTGAAGTGTGTATAAAAGTCTTGATGCCGACAATCCTGGCGAGAAGACTACCAACGGATATTTTTGCTGCTTGGTTCCATGACAGGCAGAAGGTTGACAGAAATTTATCTGTATATCTTCAAAAAGGGTTTCAGGCAGCCCATTGTCTGCAGCATAGGCTCCGTATGCTACAGTTGTTTGAGGTGGCATGTAATCGATCAGTGTTGATGTGCAATTGTCTTCTAGAGCCAGGGGAGAAAAAGATGAAATAAGGATGCGTCTCTTGTGAGGGCTGTCCGAAGGCGCATATGGGTCCCAACGAGTCTGATCGGTTAGATCATGGACCTGGTAAGACACAGAGTGAGGCCCAGGTGGTCCTGGGATGATAACTGCTTGCAGTCCCACTGCAAACAATGCGAGAGCTATGCACAACATCATGAAGTATCTTGATCTGAAGTTTACAAGTTTGTTGATTGGAATTTCTGTACGCGAACTGCATTGATTTATATTGTTAGTCTTGCTCTATGTCCGCCTGGAAAACAGTTTTGCGGCCTTGTACTAAATTGTCGAGAAACCCCAGTCAGTTGGTTTACTTCATCATCGATCTCGTTGATAATTCGCGCAACTCTGACTCCACTGATCTACGCTTATTTGTTTGCCCGGTTTGTTGGTCCTCGCTGTCATCCACTTGACTTCGGTCCCGAAAACATTCCATGCATTGCAAGATGCATAAATAGAACTTCGCACATGAATATGAGATATTTTATTCATCGTTTCCGGAAATTGTAAGGACTTATTTTCAAATTAGCGCAAAATCCGCAATAGATCCATCTAGAACTCGGAAAGATTGTATGCTCATGACAAAATAAGCGAGTATCTTGTAGCAGGGTTGACAAAATATTATCCACTGCCCATGTCGAAACTCTTACGCTAAATGAAGTCACGATCATGGAGATATTCCGCAGAGGAGGCAGCCGATGAAATGACGCAGATTTGTACTCCAAAGGTCCAAGATTTGGCTTTGTTTGGGTCTGTGTGAGTGAATTCTTTTGTGGCCACACAGGGATCTTGACCTGGTCATCTTTCAGACACATAATAGCCGTTTAGAATGGCCAATTCTTCCAAATCATCCATTAGCTTTCACTGCGGGTTCATACAAACTTTAATCAAGCTTGAGGGGTAAGGAACGGATGCTCGCCAGTGTTGAATATGAGCTCAATCAATGGCCTCGGTGTTAAGCCAGAGCGATGAAGATAATGAAAGGAGAACTGATTGCCACTAACTTAGTATATATAGTGTCCCAAAACCTGTCGGGTGGCTTTCTTCTTACCATCATGAGGATGCATTTCCGACGTGCCTAGAGAATCAATAACTTCCATGTCTCCAAGGTTGATGTCCCGGATTTGGCTAGCTAGTTAGAGAATGATATCATCGAGGTCGGTTGATTAAATGATAGTCCTAGCCGAACCAATAAATTCCATTACTGGCGCTGCAGACCTGTGTGCACATTATACGTTAGCCGAAGTCGGATTGGTTGTCCCCGAGCTCTGTTCGAGAATATATGGTCAATGCTTAGAGAACAATATCATTAATATTACTCTGAGATCTCTTTTTAATCGATAAGTTGGTTCTTCTAACTTGTGGTGTTGTTTACGTATCAATTTTGCGGTGGTCTCATACCGGACTGTCCACATGCAATCATTGGCCAATTCCTCGGTTCCTGAACATAAGGTACATAGCAAAATTCACTTGATATTAGGCCTGCTTTGGACTTCTCGCCGGATGAAGCGAGACCAAAGAACGACAAGTTTAGTAATGAATGCGTAAGTCTCTCTATGCTTGCACTTGTATCTTGCAGGTCCAATTGAAAGTGAGTATCTCGATAACAACACGAATTCTAAGCCCAAAGTGCTACTATTGCTTTATACACGCTATAAAGAAAATAAAGAGCCTAATCATGACAGGCAAGGATGCTTAAGCTAAGAAAGTGAGCGGAACTCTTGTTATTGATAATCGAGCACCAAGTCAGCCAAGTACGTCTCGCAAAGGTTGTTGCCTTACTCCCCATCTTGGAGATAGCGGGCAAAGACGTACTCAAGATCACGCTCATCAAATTGAACATCACGCTCCTTAAGATCTCCGTTGCGGAGAAGCAATTTGAGAAGGCCTTTCCCAACCTTTGCGGCACCTCGAAGGAGCTTTTTGCGGTTGATTTTTCTCTCCTCAAGATCACGGCCCTCAATCTCAACCGCCATCATCTCTTTCCATCAAGTCATTGGTCTCACGCTCACTGAGCTCAAAATTTTTGTCTGTCTCTAGATCGCGGAGAAGAATCTTTGAAAGGCCTTTTCCAACCCTTGCGGAATTATGCAGAAGCCTCTTGCCGTTCACTTTTCTCTCTTCGAGGCCAGGATACTCAATATCAACGGCACGGGCTCCCAGAACGGCTTCATTAATAACGCCAGCGCCAGATCTAAGGACGAGATCCGAACTTGCAATGGGAGCCGCGAGCGCATGTTGGGCAGCTCCAGTCAGGAGTGCTGCGGCAATAGAGAGGTTCTTGACAACAATCATTTTGACTATTGACGAATTTGTGAAAGAACTCGAGTTCAAGTAAAAACAAATTTCGTATTGACCAGCAATGATGAAATTGAATAAGGTGAAATAGAATCGAATAGAGACCAGCTCTGTTTGTTGGGTTTTTTTTTGGTGATGATTTTTGCTTTTCTAAGGAAGGGAAACCTTTACTCATAGCGGATACATTAACTACTTATAAAAGCTTACGAAGCATCCTAGATGGCTTGCTCTTGTTGATAACGAAGGTCGCCGGTGCCTCTAGGACTTAGCTTTCGCCGTATAGCGACTCAGCAATACGAGCACACCCCTTCCAAGCCACTGAGTCTATTGTTGTCAGAATTAGCCCGATATGGTCAAGGGAGAGCTTTGCTGCTAGCTTTCAGCTTTCTCGTATATGGAAAGCTTCCAAGTTTGAGCGGATTTTCCGTCGTGGGAGCACTAGATTGAGTACGTGCTCGTTCACATGTAAAGGGCAGTCAAATGACCAATGTCGTATCTGCCTAGTGAATCAGTATCTTGCTTGACACACAATGAATTGGGTGCCAGTGGAGAAGGTGATCCTCGCTCTTGACTACTCTCCTATGCACATCAAGCACCAGGCCTTACATGGATCAAGGCCCTGTGCAAAACCTTTGAATAGACGAGACCTCGCCAAACTCTAATTACCAGCTCTGAAGATTCAATGGCGGTCCTATGCAGCCCGGATCAAAATTCAATGATATATACTCAACCTGCTACTGTTAATAGACTTTTTCGGTGAAAATCGGGCATTTGGCTCGTATTCCTAGTTAACTAATATCCGTGTCACTTTTGAAAGCCAGCGGTTATATCGTACTTGCATGCCATCAGCCAAGGCATTCAGCCTTTGTGGGAAGGAATTCTTGAAAAATGCCCGTAGAGAAATTAGTGATACTTAGTTGCTAGTCAGAAATGGCACTCCATGATGTATACATAAAGTATTTGTCGCTATCCTATAGCATGTGGTAGGAACAGTGGACATAGGGTAGGTAGGATGTGGAGAACGCGTCAGGGATAGTCTACACAGGTACCTATATTAAGGTACATGTGCACAGACACATTGAGGTGGTTTGATCATTTTTTTCATAATCATGACCCTCGGTACAATTTTGCCTAAGGCGATAGAGTGGAATCTAGCAACTTGCAGTCAGCCTGCGCTCTGGTTTCCTGGTTGCTGCGAAAGCCGTGTACGCAGCATCCATCACAAATGCACTGCCCCCGTCCTTGACCTTTTAGACTCGTAGTCTCCAGCCAGTTAGCATGGGCAGATTCCTGTATGCATATAAGCGCCTTTAGTAAGCCAAGTAGCGGGCAAAAGCAATACACCCAGCGTTTATTTTTGGGGTGGTGATGATTTTGTGCGGAGCATTTGGCATTCATGCGTGAGTACAGCTGAATATGTACATAACACCACATGGGGCGTTTTATCTTCCAAAGAACGTTTACTACTCGAGAGGCTGCTGCAGTAGTTTCAACCATATGTAGCGAATAGTTACATTTGCCTCAACAGCATCATAATCTCTGTTACAAAATCACCTTATGTATACAAGGCAATCTTAATCTGAGGGGGTGGAATTAATGGAAGCAATCAATCATGTAAAGAGCTTACATCTGACTCGCGCCGCTTGCAACAGTTCCCCCTCTTTGGTGGGTTTGTCTGGAAATCTCACTCCTGTGTTATTGCGTGTGGGCCTTGCTGTCATATGACTATGCCGACTGAATCAACAGCCAAAATCCCTGAAATAAAAAGATAGACATGTGATATGTTGGTTTATTTTAATTAGGACGTAATCACGTGATTGAACACATCCTTTGATTGCTTGTCCCAATCCCACAAGGCGGCAAGTGCAACCTCACCTTTCAAGATACATGTACAAACACATGGACATAAGAGCCCCATTAGCAATTGGATTCTATAGACTCAAATTAACCAACACGCCCAAGTTATAGGGCAAACATGACTGAAGAGTTCAAGGCATTGTAAGCGGGACATCTGACATGAAGCTTCGGGCACAGTCTTCCAGTGGCCAACGTGGTTCGCGTGTAGAAAGAATAAAGCAATTGGACTGCTCAGATTCAAGCAAATTGATCTTTTGGTTCAACTCTAGGAAATAAAGAATGACGACTGGTGTACTTATAAGTATAATTCTGCGTATAATATTATTTAAATACAAAAAGGAATCTAACGATACATCTGATGACTAGGTTAGGTAGGGAGCTAGTGGTATTGTAAATAGAGCCTTTATTGACTCTACTATAGTGCGATATTGAAAATTATGTGAGGCATACGATATGCTACAGTGTTGTTTGACAAATGAAAATGGTGGCAATGCTGAATGTTGTATAATAGCTAAGTCCAAATGTTGAGTCATCTGGACTAACGGACCTGGCGTCCCCAGAGCGAACGAAAATTCTTGAGCAAGCTAGGTCACAAGCAAACAATCCTCTGGGCACTGTATTTCGCTTTCTTGGCTTGCAGGGTTGTTATTGTTGTCTGCCTCTTTCATCCTTTCATTGCTTAATAATAATAATAATGTGGCTATCGAGGCATGCTAACTGATACATCAGTGGGGGAGTATCAGCCCAAATGATGACAAGAGATGGCACCGAGAGGTCGAACGAGAGGATTTCGATGTGCATCAGCAGGACCGAAATAAGAAGATCTGACGAGCCTAACAATGGCCCTGAGTCGCGGGGCCTTACAGCTTGCCCGCCATCGTTTCGGGTTCGATGACGTGATGTGAGGCCCTCCGACGATTCGTTAGATATAACCTGAAGGAACATGTGAGGAAATTCAGGTGGAGCACTCCTTTTAAACGACAAGAATAGCTGCTGCAGCTACCATAAAGAGACGAGGGTCTTTGAAGACCGTTTGAACTGTAAGTTCAATGCCAGCTTCTCGGGCGGTAGCAACCAGGCGAATTGCGATAATGGAGTCGCCGCCAATCTGGAGGAAGCTATCATCGCGGCCAATGCTGTCAATTGACCGATTCAAGAGGGAACCCCACAAAGCTTGCATGCGGGTTTCCATGAGTGTTTGTGGTGGCCTTTTTTCCGCGTCCACCAGAGAGTAATGTTGACGCTGCTCCTCGGACAAAGCAGATGCACATGTTCTCAGAGTTTTGCGGTCGAGTTTGGAAGAGATGCCGACCGGGAAAAAGCTACAAGGTATGAAGATGGAAGGAATCATATATGCCGGGAGATGAAGCTTGAGTGTACCTACTAGCTCCAACAGCTGGGATTTGCGTTGCTCAGATATGGTGTGGAACATGTTCTCAGCGGTAACCTCTTGACTTGTGCACAATTTCCTGGATTCAGAATCGGAGAAGTATGCAACTATCTCTTTCGATGATGTCTTGGAATTGTCTAGTACGTCCACAGCAACCTGAGCTATTACTTTGGAGGCGGTTAGGATATTGTTCTCGATTTCACCAAGTTCAACTCGAAGACCCCGGATTTTGATCTGTGTTCCCTTGCGGCTAATGAACTGCATCATTCCATCAGGCTTGTAACATGCAAGGTCACCGCTGAGGAAGGCTCTGTCCATGCGTGGGGTCTCCCTGTGGGGGACCCAGGATGGGAGATTCGTAATGATAGTTTCTTTAGACTTCTCCTCGTCTGCAAGATATTCGCGCAGAACAGTAGGTCCTTGGATTAATATCTCTCCGACAGTTCCTATCGGGGCGAGTTGGTTTGGATTTTCAGGGTTAACAATCCAACAAGCAGCGCCCATCGATGTTCCTATTGTATCAGACAAATCATTAGATGAGGAGTATTCATAGAGAGAACTAGCGACACAGGTCTCTCCAGGGCCCCAGCCATTGAAAAGCCGCACTTTCCCATACCATTGGCTCAGAAGATGCTGGGGTACGGCTTCACCAGCCAAAAACAGTACTTTCAAGGCAGGCACTTGCTCCGGCGTTAGTGTTAGAGCGAAGGAGGGACTGACGAAAGCATGGCTAACTCTGGCTTCCTGAATGAAGGCAGCCGCGTTATTGAACCGTGCTTCCTCAGATGGAACACAGACGCAGGCCCCTGAGAAAAGGGCCATAAAGATCTCGCCGATCGAGAAGTCAAAGACGAAATTTGCGAATTGGAGAATCCGAGCCCCAGCGTTGATTCCGACGCGCTTGCAGATTGCTTGTTGCGCAGAACTCAAGGCTCGATGCTCGATGACAAATCCCTTCGGCATACCCGTACTTCCAGACGTAAAGAGAACATAGGCCATATCAGCAGGTGTCACCGGCCTCAGCGGCCCCTCAAATTCCATATTAAGTCGAGATAGCTGGAAATCAAGATCAGGGGTAAGCTCCACGATATTTTGCACTAAATTGGCAGACACGTTGGCATGAGTTGCTGACACAATCATTAATTTTGACTTTGTTTTCTGAACAATGGTCTTCCTGCGTTCAAACGGATGCTCAGGATCAAGGGGAGAGAAAGCGGCACCGGTTTTATTAATTGCAAGAATAGCAACAAAATACCACTTAGACTTCTCCAAACAGACGTGAACAACATCGCCAACTTGGATGTTATAAGTATCGATGAGGTGTTGGGCAAAACGATCGGACGCATCCGCGAGTTCCTTGTATGAAAAAGTGCCATCCCAAGCGTGAATAGCGGGCGAATGAGGATTTTGTTTCGCGTGGCAGTCAATAATGTCATGAATACAAGCATCGAAAACCTCAGGCTTCGGGTTTCGGCTCGTTGCAATTTGTAAGTCCCAAGGAGAAGCCATACAGATATCGGACAGAAGCTTGTCCTTATTGTCAGTGAGGAGCTCGGAGAGAACCTGTTCGAATTGGTGATAAATTGCTTCAATCTGTGCTGATTGCAGAACCTCCGTGTTGTAGATAAGATATAATTCTATTTTATCTTCATCCAGAGCACCCTGCATGACCAGGGGGTACGTGAAGTATCCTTGCAACCAATCTTCGTTGTTGACGTCCTCATTCACAGGAAGCATAAGTTCCTCATTATCAGACTGGGTGTAATCCAGGCGCTGAACCGGCTGCACAACTGTCAAACTCGAGCAGTCACAAGCCTCTCTGGCGTCAGAGCTGACTTTGGCGATGTTTGATAGCCCATACTGTTCATAAGCTATCATTTCAATTGCTTGTGACTGTACGGATTCTAGGAATTGGTGGATAGTCTTCTGACGGTCAAGACGGATTCTTACGGGAACGGTTGTGATCATCGTGCCTGGGATATTTTCAATGCCTGCAACGGGTGCATTGCGTCCCGCGACAGTTGCCGCGAATGTTACATCTTCAGTTCTGCAGTATTGAGCCAGAAGGATTGCCCAGGCGGCTCGAATCGCGGTAGCCCGGGTAACCGAGCTCCGCTGAGACTCTGAGATGGAGAGGCATTTCTGGAAAACTCTTGTTCTTTGGGAAGATCCTGATGGCTTCGGTGGGAAAGATGCTCTCTGAGCACCCTTCAGCTGGTTCTCCCAGAAATTGTTATTGGCTTCATCGCTGGTCTGAAGGGTGTATGCGATGAAGGAAGAGTATGACCTGACTTGAGGAAGCTTCTCGTTGCGATACATGCGGTAGAATGTATCCATGACCAGGCGAATTGTCCACCCGTCAAACACCGAGTGATGGACGAACCAGGTGAAATGGTAAGCGCCTTCTTGATCTTGCCGCAGAACAAATCTGTTAAGCGGGCTCCCATAAGTCATACTGATCACATCTAAGGATGTGTTCTCCCATGCGACCTTGTCCTTGATCACAACTAGTAAATCCGTGCCTTGAACCTGAACGATCCTGGATCGCAAGTTGGCACAAACTTGAACAGTACGTTCCCAAGACTCTTTGAAGAGTCCGATATCGATCTTACTTGAGAGGGGGAAGTCGTGTTTGGCTATATACGATTTCGGCTGCTTCATGGTGAGCGCAATGAGGCCACTCTGGAACGGTGTACAAGGATAGATGTCTTCGATCTGTCGGAAGTTGCGCATCTTGCATTGCTTAGCGGCTTCTGGAACAGCCATGCTGACAGGGAAGTGCTTCGCAAGCAGGCTGAAACGCTCAGGATCTTTTTCGGTTTTTATACTCGCCCCCTGAAGGGTAGCCGCCATCGCGGACAATCTTGGATCCCGGAAGATCGTTCCAACATCAAGACTAAGTCCGTTCTCTTGAGCAAGTGTAACCAACCTAATGGCACTTATAGAATCTCCGCCCGCTCTGAGGAAGTTATCATGACGACCAATGTCGTTAGCATCTACATGCAGGACCTGTGACCAGAGATCACGGAGTTTGCGTTCATTATCAGTTTCTGGCTGATCGCCGGTGCCTTTAACTGGTGAAAATCTGAGCCTGTCTTTGATCGAGATATCTTTGACAATAGCACACAACTTGCGTCTATCGATCTTTCCCGAGCTCTTCCTCTCAGGACCACCTTTAAATATAAGATAAATGCTGGGCACCATGTATGTTGGAAGGGATTCGCTGAGAGATGACTCCAAGTTATTGATGAGCTTGCGCATTCCGTCTGAAACGTTTTCAAGAACTTGTAACTTCTCAGCAGCCGATTCAGGTCCTTCAGTATACCACATTAGGGCTACCAAAGTGTTTGACTGATCTTCGTTGATAACCGTGTCCACAATGCAGCCCATGTCTCGTGGAAGATTCTCACTAAGACGCATTTCAATCTCACCAAGCTCGACACGTTGCCCGTGAAGCTTGACTTGTGTGTCTTTACGCCCAAGATATTCAAACGTTCCGTCCTCGAGACGCCTCACCAGGTCTCCGGTCAAATAAGCCTTCTCAGCACCCGCAGATCCCGGGAGCCAATCGGCATTGGGTAGCCATGCTTGATTTGTTTGCTCGTCGACGCCAATGTAGCCGCGAGCCATCATGGGGCCTTGAATCATAAGCTCACCAATACACCCAACAGGGATAAGCTGGCGATAGTCGTTTGGATCGACGACCCACCAGGCGCATGAAGACGGAACGCCGATGTTGTTAGGCTTTGAAATAATTCCGACATCCGCAATCCATCCGCAGATAGACGCCTCCGCCGGGCCATACAAGTTGTGGAGGGTCGCATATCCCCTCCAATTATCTACCACCTGTTTGGTTACATTCTCTCCTCCGAGGCCAACATCTTTGATAGTAGGAATCTCAGCTGGTTTGACCAAAGTAGCAAGGGTTGGCGTGAGGAATGTCCAGTTTGCTTTCATGGTATTAATTGCTCCATGAATATCATTATATCGCTGCCATTCGGATGGGATACATAGACAAGCACCACGGGATAAGGAAACCATGACATCTATCACGCCAATATCAAATGTATAGGCAGAATAAGAGAAGACCCGGGTACCAGGTCCCCATCCTTGAATGGTACCGTGGCTGGTCGATGTGGAACACGTGTTGCGGTGTTCGAAAACCATGCCCTTTGGTCTACCGGTGGACCCGGACGTAAACATAACAAAACTTGCATTTGTATATTTCGCAAGAGGGACAACGGGAGTCCGTGGAAGCTTGTCGATGAACTTGCGGTCGATGCAGTACATGGGGACATCGAGGGAACTGGCCACCTCAAGACAGGAATCTCCTGTTAGCACTAAGGTGGCATGTGTATCTTGCAGAATGCTTTTCAAACGGGGAACCGGCGCGCTGAAGTCAAGAGGAACGAATGCACCACCTGCCATGTTCACAGCAATCATCGATATAACCGCCCAGATCGACTTTGGGAAGCAGATTGGAACAAATACCTCAGGTCCAACTCCCAGAGATTGCAGCTTGCCCGCAAGAAGTGTAGAATAGTGCTGAACCTCGCTATATGTCATATCGCCATCCCAAGATACAATGGCTTGCAGATCGGGAGTCTTGTGCATCTGTTTCTGGATCATTTCGTGGATACAAAGATCTGTTGATGCTTGCATATTTTGATGTCGGACTGCATGCTCCTTGTCCCATGTCCCAACCATAGAAATAGTTGAGAGCTTTTGGGACGAGCTGCGTGATATCAGCTGATGTACAACACAATCGACTTGGTGCGAGATAGCTTCAGCCATGGTGGATGAAATCACGTCTACGTTATACCCAATGCGAACTTTGGCCAAATCTTGACTAAAGTCGGCCTCAAACAGGAGCGGATAGTTGAAATAGTTCTCCATTTCTTGGTCGACATACTCTGTATCTTTTCCAAACTCCAAAATGCTCTCGTCGGTAGCAATCTCAAATAGCTGTAGAGGTCGAAGAACCATCAAAGTCGGGAACTGGCAGGCCTCTCTTGCGCTCTCGCTGACTTTTGAGATATTCTGAAGACCAAACTGCTCAAACGGCGTCATATCTGTAGCTTGATTTTGTATAGAATCTAGGAAGTCCTGGACCGTGGACTCAAAATCTAGCCGAATACGCACAGGGATAGTTGCAATCGAGGGGCCTGGCATATTCTGAAGCCCAGTGACAGATGCATTTCGGCCGGATAAAGTTGCACCAAAACAAATATCGTCACTATTGCAGTGACGGGCCATGACAATAGACCAGGCTGCCCTTAATATATTCGCAACGGTGATTGTATTGCCAGCAACCTTTGGCGTTGCAATTTCATACCGGAGGTATTTGAAAGTCGGCTTTGAATCGTACACGGCCGCCTGGGGGAAAGAAGGACGGCTGGCTCCCTTGAGTTGTTCCCTCCAGAATTCAGTAGCCAGTTGAAGATCAAGATTAAGGATGTAGTTGATAAAACCGCTAAAAGGAGAAATATTGACAGGAGCTCGATTCCAGTAGCTGTTATATAGGGTGGTGAAATTGAGATTGAAGCATCCTCCATCCAGAACAGAGTGATGGGCAATCCAACTGAAATAAGCAGTTCCATCTGGGTCAGTGATAATCGCGAAGCGATTGAGCCTAGATCCGAAACTCATTTCATATTTCTGTGTCCTTTTTAGGAAGGTAGGCAAGCTTAAGCCTTTGGTATCCTCCCAGCACATGTCATTTGTGCTTAAGACCTGGATAGAGCGGTCTGGGGAAGCAACAATTCTAGTCCGCAGATTGCCGTTGAGCTGCACGGTATTTTCCCAGGCGGTCTTGAAACGCTTCAAGCAGATCGACTTAGATATACGAAAGACATATTTCGTGATGTACGAGCCGATCTGTTTCTCAGCAAGAGCTATGAGCCCTTCCTGCAGTGGCGAACAAGGATACGCATCTTCGATTTCATAGTCGGCCGGCCAGTCATACTGCTTGTGAAAGCTACCACCAGTAACTAGATCACGCTCATTTACAGTGAGGAGCTCAAATGGCTGAACTGGGAATGCCTCCGCCTCAGGTTCGGTAATGCATGAAGTTTGGAGGGCGAGCTCATGCAGTTGTGGGGATTTGAAGATATTGTCTACCTTTAGAGAAAACCCTTTATCTCGAGCAGCTGTTACGACGCTGATTGCTGTAATAGAATCTCCACCGATGGCGAGAAAGCTGTCGTCTCGGCCGATAGATTCGGTGGAAACTTGTAGCACATCTGCCCAGATTTGTTGCAGTAAGATCTCGGTTGAGGTTTCTGGAGCTCGCTTCTGAACATCTTGCAGAGCATACTGGGCCATTTGAACCTGAGTAAGTTTCTCGGTTTCGGCCCGCAGACGTTTGCGGTCGAGCTTCGAGGTCGTAATAAAGGGCATATAGGAACAGGAAATGAAGAAGGTCGGTACCATATATGGGGGCAAAAGCGTTCTCAATTTCTTGGACAAGACGAAATAGTCTGTCTTCGTATCGGTATCCAGAGGTTGAAACAATTCCTCACCGCGTGGCTTCTCGATATTATTTGCCATTGTTGGGCAAAGATATGCACAAAGATGGGCACCGGTAGCATTGCGGAAGACATCCACAGCGATTTGCCGGACACTAGGCATGTTGGTTAGAATCTGGTGTTCCACCTCACCCAATTCAATACGGAGCCCTCTGATCTTGACTTGAGTGTCTTTACGGCTGTAGAATTCCAAGAGCCCCTGCTCATTGAGGTAACAGAGGTCACCAGTCTTATAAAATCGTCCCCAATGAGGTTTGTCGGCATTTGGCATCCAGTGGGGGATGTCACAAGAGACAGCTTCTCCAGTTCGCTCGGGGTCCCTAAGATATTCTCGGAGTAGAGTAGGGCCCTGAATGACGACTTCTCCAAGGGTCCCGACAGGGGCAAGCTTATGGTGATTATCTGGGTCTACAATCCAGCAATGGCCTCCGATCGGCTTACCAATAGTAAGAGGCGATTCATCTAAGCTCGTCCACTCATGCATAGAGCCGAAACAGCAGGCTTCGGCCGGACCCCAAGCGTTTATAACACGAGTCTTACCGACCCAGGTCTCAAATAGGTCTCGTCCGACAGCTTCACCTCCGAGAATCAATAGCTCCACTGATGGTACGGACTCGGGACTGATTGTTCGAGCGAAGGATGGCGTTAAGAATAACCAGTTAACTTCCGTTCGGCGGATAAATTCGACTAAACTATTCATTCGAACATCTTCTGAAGGGATGCAGATGGTTGCACCTGCCATAAGAGAATCCACAGTTTCACCGATGAAAAAATCAAAGACAAATGAAGCAAATTGCAGGACCTTGATACCCGGACGAGGGCCAATCCTCTTCTGAACTGCCCTTTGGCTCGTGCAGAGCGCACGGTGCTGCATCACGAATCCCTTGGGGACGCCAGTGCTGCCTGAGGTGAAGAGAACATATGCTATATCACTCGGACCAGCAATGCCCTGCAAAATATCAACATGTGGGTGAGATTGTTCGAGGGCAGAGATAAGCTGCGGGTCGACCTGCAGTACTTGACCAAGAAGTTGTGCAGCTAGCCCAGCAAGCCGAGGAGACGTTAAGATCAACTTTGATCGAGTTTGAGACAATACCTGTCGGTGACGCTGAACAGGATGGGAAGGATCCAGGGGTACCCAGGCGGCCCCGGCTTTATTAATAGCCAAAATTGCAATGAAATACCAAATGGTCTTTTCGAATAAGACGTGAACCAGATCGCCCCTCTGGACTTTAAAGGCTGTAACCAAATGCCATGCCAAATTGTCCGCTCCAGTATCAAGTTCTTTGAAAGTCAGAGTAGCGTCTCCAGATTGGATGGCGATAGCGTCAGGTTGCTCTCGAGCCTGTTTAGACAGTCGAGAATGGAACGTGTCTTCAACGATCTCAGGGACCTCGGAATTGAATTTCATGGCCAGCTCCAGATCCCAACGGCCAGCTATGGAGATTTGGTCGAGGCGTTGGTCGCAGTCGCTAACAAGACTCTTGATCGTGTGCTCAAGATGATTAGTCAAAGCCGTGACCTTGTGCTCTCCAACGACGTTGATGTCATAACTGACATGCAGCTGAATCAACGTGTCTGAAATGATAGTTTGAACCACAAGTGGGTAACTGAAATATCCTTCCAAGGAACCCGAGGCCTGCTTGTCACCACCAGACGAAGCAAATATGGACTGCGCCATGTTCCCCATCTCTGCCATCTTCTCCGATGGCTGAACAGCAAGTAAACTAGAGAAGTTGCAGGCGTCGCGAACGGAGTCACCCAACTTCAGGATGTTCTGTAGGCCGTACTGTTCGTATTCGAATATCTCGACAGCCTGTTGTTGCACGTCCCGCAAGAACTCACTTGCTTGCTGCGCTGGATTCACCCGAATCCGGACTGGTACAGTCGTCACAACCGGACCAGATATATCACTTATACCGGGCACGGCAGCTTGCCGGCCGGATATCGAAGTGCCAAAGCAAACATCATCTGCGTCGCAGTACTTTGCTAGAACCAACGCCCAAGCAGCTCTCATAATAGTCGCGTTGGTGATTGAATCATGTGTAGAGGGAGGTAAGTCAATCGTCTTCGCCATCACGTTAGTAGTCTTGGCTTCATATCCGTGTTTGACTGGCGGGAAGACAGCTCGCTGAGCGCCCTCGAGCTGCGCCAGCCAGAACGCCTTTGCAGCTTCGCGGTTTAATCTGAGCATGTGACGAACGAAGTAGTCGAAAGGTTTGATATTTACTTGTCCAGTTTGAAAGTAGGATTGTGCTAGTGTTCTCAAGGCCAGTTGCAGTGCCCAACCATCATATGTTGCATGATGCGTTACGAGAACAAAGTAACAATCCCCGGTAGACTCTTTTACTAAGGCCCACCGGTTCAAACGCGATCCGAGACTCATCTTCAACCCCTTCATTTGTTGGACGAAGTCAGTCAACTCCATACCTTCCGTTCGCTCCCAGGTAGTGTCGTCCTGTATCACCAATTGTAAAGTTGTCCCAGAAACGTTGACAATACGGGTTCGGAAGTTTGAGCATATATGGACTGTTTTATCCCAAGCGGCTTGAAAGAGATCAATGTCGGTGCTATCGGCGAGTTTGTAGATCCATCGTGCGATGTAAGAGCCGGGTTGCTTTACGGCGAGGGCCATGAGGCCCTCCTGGAACGCAGTCACTGGCATAGCGTTTTCAATCACGTCGCAACTATCCAGCCCACATGCTTCCCGACAGTGCAGTTCCCAGTCTTCTTGAAGAGACCCTGGCAGGAGACTGAATGGCTGGATATCACCACGCTCTTCCTCATCTGGAATAATCTCGATCGCAGCAGCAGCCACAATAAGAAGCCTCGGGTCGTCAAAAATATTTTTCACGGTGAGACCGATTCCCTGCTCTCTGGCTGCGTTGACAAGGTGGATGGCAGAGATCGAGTCTCCGCCGATTTGTAAGAAGCTGTCATCGCGGCCAATAGATTCCGCTGGTATCCTAAGGATGGAAGACCACAGACTTTGCAAGCGAATTTCCATCTCTGTCTCGGGTACCCTCTTTGTCGAGTTGACAAGTGAGTAAAGATGAAGTTGCTCACGGCTCAGTTCTTTCGTGGACGCCTGCAACGCGTTGCGGTCAAGCTTGGAGGAATGTCCAATCGGCATGAACGTACAAGGGATGTACATCGTCGGAATCATATACTTTGGTAAAACGATGCGAAGTTTCCCGACCAACTGCTGCAGCATCTGATGAACATCTGGCGTGATGACCGAAAACATGCTCTGTAAAACTAGGCCTCCAGAGTCAAGCATTTGTCTCGACTCGGAAAAGGAGAAATAAGCAACCAGATGGACCGCCTCTTCGGCGCGGTAGACGTCCACGACAACTTGTGCCACCCCGTTCAGCAAAGACATTATGTTTTGTTCAATCTCGCCCAACTCTACCCTCAGACCACGGATTTTCACCTGGGTATCCTTTCTGCTCACAAACTCCAGCGCACCGTCTGCGTTATAGAAAGCAAGGTCCCCAGATTTGAAGGAGCGATGAACGTTTGAAGTCCAAGGAAGGGAATCATCAATAATCGTAGCTTTGGTCTTGGCCTCGTCTGCAAGGTATTCACGGATCACTGAGGGGCTCTGAATCAAAATCTCCCCCACCGTACCAATAGGTGCTAATTGTTTATGGTTGTTCGGGTCGACAATCCAGCAAGACGATCCAACCGCATGGCCAATGGTGGCCGGTGAGTCGTCAACGGACTGATATTCATGAAACGCGCAAGCGAAGCAGATTTCTCCAGGGCCATACATATTAATCAGGCGCACCTTTCCAAACCAAATTTTCAGAAGATCGTGCGGTACTTGTTCTCCTCCAAGTCCGAGAAGCGTAACGGAGGGCACATCCTCAGGCTTCAGCGTGCGAGCGAAGGCTGGACTAATCAGTAAGGTATCAACTTGAGCTTCACGAATGAATGCCTGTATATTGTTCAGTCGTGCTTCCTCTGATGGAACGCAAATGCAGCTTCCATTCATAAAGCTTTGGAAGATTTCACCGGTAGAGAAATCAAACACGAAGTTACTGAACTGCAGAATCCTCGACTCAGAGTTCACCTTGGTCACTTCCGTAATCGGGCGATGGGATATATGCACCGACCGATGTTCCATAACATACCCTTTAGGCACCCCAGTGGTGCCAGATGTGAACAAGATATATGCAACGTCATTCGGCGTAACGGCCGTATTGGGACATTCGCACGTATCGATGCTGGCATCTAATGATGCACTGACGACGATAACATGCTGCACGATTTCCTGCGACATGGTGGCATGTTCGGCTGATACGAGCATCACAGTTGATCCAGTTTTCTGTACCATATACTGCTTACGCTGCTTTGGATGCGCCGGGTCGATGGGCGCGAATGCTGCACCAGCCTTGTTGATGGCGAGGATGGCAACAAAGTACCACATGCTTTTATCAAAGCACACGTGGACCACATCTCCCACCTGAACCTTGTAAACATTGATCAAATACATTGCAAGGCGGTTCGCTGCCTTGTCAAGTTCAGAGTAGGTGAGTTGTCCATCCCAGGCATACACGGCGGGCGAATCCGGCCGACTCCTCCCATGCTCCTCAACAATATGATGTACACAGGTGTCAGTGATGACTGGTGATGGATTGCGAGCTATCGCCGTTTGGACATCCCAAGGACTAGTCATGGTGATGTCTTTCACTAGCTTTTCGGTATCACGAATAAGCTCCGAAGCCACCTGCTCGAAGTGGCACGACATTGCTTCGATCTGAGCATGATGTAGACAGGTAGTATCGTATGTCAACGAAACGTCGATCTTATCATCTTCAAGCAGGATGCTCTCCATAACCAGAGGGTAGGTAAAGTACCCTTCAAGCCAATCATCCACCACCTCGTCACTTGACACTGGTACCAGGATCTGGTCGCTAGAGATATGTCCAGATGTCTCACCTGTCTGAACGACGATCAAACTTGAGAAATTGCATGCCTCCTTAGTGTTTTCATTGATCTTTGAAATTCTCTGGAGACCAAACTGCTCGTAAGCCATCATATCAGCCGCCTGGTTCTGAATTTGAGTCAAAAACTCCTTCACTGAAACGTCCGGTCTCAGCTTGACATACACAGGCACCGTGGCTATCATCGCTCCCGAGATATTCTCAACGCCCTCAATGGGAGCGCTTCTGCCAGAAACAGTCGCGCCAAATGTGGCATCGTCAGTCCCGCTATATCTAGTCAACATTATTGCCCATGCTGCTCGAAGGACCGTCGCTTTTGTAATCGAGCTAGAACGAAGCTTTGGCAAAGAGATAGATGTTGTATAAATCTTGGAACTTCCAGATGCAGACTGGTGGCTCGCTGGGAAGGGCGATGCACGAGCGCCCTCCAACTCTTTTGTCCAAAATGATTCTGCTGCTTCGTCGTTTATGCTCAATGTGTAGGAGATGAATTCCGCATAAGGTCGAGCATCGGTCAGGGCGAGGCTATTCTGATAGAGCTGTGCCAAAGCATTCATCACAACGCGAAGGGTCCAGCCATCAAAGGTTGTGTGATGGCTAAGCCAAAGGAAGTAACGGTTCCCTTTGCCGTCGTGGGCAACTCGGTAGTAGTTAAGCGCTGAACCATATGTCATCTTGATATCGTTCGTAGCCTTGACCATGCCTTTGAGATCCATGTTTTCTTGAAACACTTCCCAGTGGAAATCGTCCTTAATGACGGCCTGGACTGCCACGTTGCCAATTTCAATTATTCTTGTCCGCAAGTTGGTGCAGACCTCAGTGGTCTTTTGGAGAGCTGTACGGAATCGAACCAAGTCGACTTCCGGTGCCAGCTTGAACATATACCGGGCGATGTACGATCCAGGCTTTCTGAGAGTTAAAGCCATGAGGCCCTCCTGTAACTTCGTACAAGGATATGCATCCTGAATTAAGGAAGATGATGAAAGGCCACAGCCAATCTGTATCTCAGAGAGAAGCTTCTCTCTTTGAATACTTGGTACCATACCAAAGGGCCCTACATTGATGGCCACTGGTTTGTCTGCTTGAGTTATCCGTTCAGACATCGAGGCAAGTTGTGGCTCTCGGAAGATTGCCGAAACATCGATGAGAAGACCCTGCTGTCTTGCGAGTGACACAAGTTTGATGGCATTGATGGAGTCTCCTCCAAGGCGCAAGAAGCTATCGTACTTCCCAATATCCTCGCTGTTAATCCTAAGAATTTGACCCCATAAATCTCGTAGCCTGAATTCCATCTTCGTAGTCGGTGGCTCACTTTTCAACACTTCGGGGGAAAATCGCAGGCGGTCTTGGGGTGAAACAGAGGCAGCGAGGGCTGCGAATGACTTTCTATCGACCTTTCCTGAAGTCGTCGTGGAGGGTGTACCTTGAAACACTAAATACGATGACGGCATAGCATACGAAGGCAGTAATCTTTCTAGAGAGTTGTTGAGCGACGATATCAGAGACTGGGTCTCTGGGGACACGAAGTCTAACAACCTGGCTGGGCCTTGTGTTATCACCTCTGAACTATCTGTATACCAAATCAAAGCGAATAGATCGGCAAAATCTTCGCCTTCTCTTCGAACAATCTCAACGATGGCGCTCATCTCCTTCCGGAGGAAATTGTAAATTAAGCTTTCAATCTCTCCAAGCTCAACTCTTTGACCGCGTATTTTGACCTGGGTATCCTTACGACCAAGGTAGTCATAAGTACCATTTGCATTACGACGAACTAGATCACCAGTCTTGTATGCTCGACGGTGACTCATTTCACCACCTGGGAGCCAGTCAACGTTCTCAACCCAATTAGACGCTTGTTCAGCGGACACGTTTATATAGCCACGCGCAAGCATCGGGCCTTGGATCAAGAGTTCACCCACGCAGCCAACAGGGACCAACTCCTTGATATTTTCCGGGTCAACCACCCAGAGTGCGCTGGCTAATGGAACTCCTATGTCAAAGGGCCTTCCATTTTCTCCAACGAGAGTGTTATAGGCGCAGCAGTTGCCTTCTGCTGGTCCGTACAGCCCGTTGAGATGCACATGATCTTTCCAGCGGTCCGACGTTTTCATAGTGATGGCTTCTCCAGCGAGAACAATCACTTCGAGTAGAGGAACCTCGTCAGGATGCAAGAGATTGGCCACTGTGGGGGTACAGCTCAAGAAATTTGCCTTAAAAGAGCGAATAGAGGCTGCTAGGTCATATAACCTGTCGTGGTCAGTTGGCACGCAAATACATGCTCCTTTGCTCAAGCTTCCCAACACATCGTAAATGCCCATGTCAAAAGTATAAGCAGCGAATTGGAACACGCGGGTTCCGGGCCCTATTGCAAGCTTCTGTATGTGCCCGCTGCAGAACGAGGTGCAAACCTGATCGTGTTGAATCACAATACCCTTGGGCGTACCAGTCGATCCAGATGTGAAGATAATAAAGCTTGCATTTTCTGGCTGCGTGGTGCATGAGACTGGCTGCTCGGGATCAGGGAGCTCAAGGATGGTCTCTTTGTCCACAAGGAGAACACGGGAATGCAGCTCATCCAAAATCTGCCGATTTGACGGTGGTCCAACGACGAGGCTCGCACCAGTGCCCTTGACAATATTCTGGAGACGTGTAATTGGTGCTGCGGGATCGAGCGGCACAAATGCACCACCAGCCATTTGAATAGCTACCATCGTAACAATCGCCCATACGGACTTAGGGAAGCAAAATGGAACAAGAACTTCCGGCCCCACGCCAAGTGCCTGTAACTTAACTGCCAGTCGAGCACTATAGATGCCAAGCTGCTTGTATGTCAAATCCCCATCCCAAGCTGCGACAGCTAGGTCGGAGGGTCGGGCTTCAATTTGCTCCTTGATGAGCCAATGGGTGCAAGAGTGAGTAGAGTCGCAGAGCTTTTGCGAGTTGACCGCGTGCTGCAGATCCCACGAACTAACCAAGGACACATCTCCGAGAAGATATTCATCTGGCTTCGTCAGAAGTTGCTGAATAGCATAGTCAAGATGATTTGATATGGCAACAATTCTTTCGTCGGATATGACGTTACCGTCATAAAAAAATCGCTGATCAATCTCATCCTCGTACACGTTACTAACGAGCACAAGAGGATACTCAAAGTAATTGCCCATGGACTGGTGTCGGATTTCACGTTCTTCGCTTCCTTCCAACAGTACTGATTGGCCACCGGATTCTCTGTCACTTTTCTTGATAGTTGGCTGAATAACCAACAGTGTGCGGAAGTCGGTCGCGGCTTGTGCGTCTTCTCCAAGTTTCGAGATGTTTTGCAGGCCGGCTTGTTCGTGGGGAACAGTGTCCAGGCCGTCCTTTTGAACCGTATGAAGAAAAGACAAAATCTTCTCACTGTGATCAAGATGATACCGGACGGGAACGGTTGCGATCGTAGGTCCAGGCATACTGTCAATCCCTGGAACTGGCGCTTGTCGGCCAGAAACAGTTGCTCCAAAGCAGACATCGCCAGTGTCCTCATACCGGCCTATAACCAAGGCCCAAGCGGCCCTAATGATGCTTGCGTTGGTTATTGATCCTCTCAGAGAGCCTTTCAGGTTGATCAAATGACTGTGCATTCGAGGATCGCGAGACGACTTGTGGCTGTGGGGTAGGAATGTCATTCTCTTGCTTCCCTTTAACTTCTGTGACCAATATTCTCCAGCGGCCACTCCATCGACTTCCCGGGTGTACTTAATGAAAAGAGGGTATTCCGCCAGAGGATCCAACTTCAATCCCAGATACGTCTTCTCGAACGTGTCAAGGAGAATGTTAACCGACCAGCCGTCATGGAAAGTATGATGGGCCATCCAAACAAAGTATATACCATTCTTGCAACTTAGGATCGTGTTTTTCGACAAGGATGTTCCATACCCCATATATTCAAAGTTTTGCTGGCTAATATACGTGGCTGGATCAATTGCAGCATGGTGCTCCCATGCAGTGTCTTCTTTGACCACCAATTGAATGCTTTCCCCGTCAACAAGGACAATTCGAGAGCGCATGTTTGGACATTGTCGAACAGCATTCTCCCAGGCCGCTTTCATCAAATCGATGTCCACATATTCGGGAATTCTGAACGCAAACTTGGTAACGTAAGAACCTGGTTGTCTCACTGAGACTGCCATTAGACCTTCCTGCATGGATGAGCATGGGAAGGCATCCTCAATCAGCTGATCCTCAGAAAAGCCACAGAATTCCCTCATTTCCTCACTTTGAACCTTGTGAATGGCATCTTGCCCGAGAAGACTGAATGGCCTGATTGGGGTCGGTTCAGTCGACGTTCCCTGCTTGAGGCTAACGGCCTTTATGGCAACTGAAGATAGAGAAGGACTGTCAAGGACATCCTTGGTCAGTAGTCCGATGCCTTCCTTTCGGCAAGCACTGATTAATTTGATGGCAGAAATGGAATCACCTCCTATTTCAAGGAAGCCGTCGTCTCGGCCAATAGCCTCCTGTGGTAGTTGCAACACCTGGGCCCAGAGCACCTGTAGACAACGCTCCATCTCCGTCTCCGGCATGATCTTCTTAGTATTGACACGCGAATAACGGGTGATGGCGGACCTGTCTAATTCCGAAACCAACTGCTTCAGCCTTTTCCTATCCGCTTTCAGAGATGTATTATATGGCATAAAGCGACAGTGAAGAAAGCAAGTCGGAATCATATAGCGTGGTAGTCTGACACCTAATTTCGTGACCAATCCAGCCGCTAAAGCGTCATTCTCCTCGGAAGGAAGCTCGAAGATGTCAGTGGCGGAAAAATTACCAGATTTCCTGGCATCCGTAAAGCAGAGGTAGGCCACGACGTTCAAACCAGCCTGGGTTCTTATGATATCCACAACGACTTGGCAAACGTCGTGGAGGTGGTCTCGAATATTGCGCTCAATTTCCTCAAGCTCAACCCTCATGCCATTGATCTTAACTTGGGTGTCCTTTCGAGATACGAAGTCAAATGTCCCATCAGGATTGTAACGGCAAAGATCACCAGTCTTATACCAGCGGCTCCAATTTGCAGAGGAGGAATCCGGCACCCAACGCGGTAGCGACTGGACAATACTCGAATCTGTCTTGACTTTATCATGCAAATACTCCTTAAGAAGCGTTGGACTTTGAATGACAACTTCGCCAATAGCTCCAATCGGCGCCAATTGACTTGCATCATTGGGATCGACAAGCCAATTGTGCCCACCAACAGTGCGGCCAAGACATTTTGAAGACTCATGCGGCGCCGTCCACTCCTGCAATGCGGCAATACAACATGCTTCCGCTGGTCCCCACGCCCCAAGAAGCCTGACTTTGCCAAACCACTGTTCGACAAGATCTTGACTGATTGCCTCACCTATGATGACCAAGGTCCGTAAGCCAGGCACATCGTTGGGATCCAGAGTCCGTAAGACTGAGGGGGTCTGATAAGTCCATGTAACTGATTTCTCCTGTATATAATCTGCCAGGCGATTGAGACGGTCCTCTTCCGATGGCACACAAAGACATGTTCCATTTATCAGGGATGCAAAAGTCTCTCCAATCATCATGTCAAAGACAAATGAACTGAATTGCAGTAATCGATCTTCAGGGCTCAGTCCTGACTTTCTAACCCAGTCCGTTTGGCTAGTGCAGAACGCTCTATGTTGAATCACAACGCCTTTCGGCATTCCCGTAGTTCCTGAAGTGAAAATCACATACGCAACCTCGTTCGGTGATACAATGGCACACCCGTTCGAACTAGACTCGCTAGCCTTCAGTTCTTTATCCAGGCTCTGGCTGACCTCCAGCACACTCTCTCCCATCAACTTCGTGCAGATGGCAACATTGTTGGGCGAAGATAACGCTATCGTGGCTTTTGACTGGCTGACAAGCTTTTCAAGACGTTCAAGAGGATGCGAAGAATCCAGAGGGACCCAGCCGGCCCCTGCCTTATTCGCAGCCAGCACAGATACAAAGAACCATGCAGACTTCTCAAAGCATACATGCACCAAATCTCCAGGCTTGATTCCATGACGATTCTGCAAACGATGGGCCAACCTATTAGCTGCACCGTTCAATTCCCTGTACGTTAATGTCAAGTCCCAGGCATCGATGGCTACTCTCTCCCCGCCAAGCTCCACCTGCTGCTCGAACATTTCGTGGATGCATCTATCAACCACCTCCGGTTTTTCTTGGTTGCTGTTGCAGGCGAAAGAAATATCCCACGGTCCCGAAACTTGAATATCGCCTAGAGGACAATCGATAGGTCGAACAAGCTGCTTCATAACGTGCTCCATGTGATAGTATATTCCTTCCAATTGTGTTTCCGACACAAGATCAGAGTAATAGATAAAATCCATCTGAAACTGGTTGTTTCTCAGACGAGGATGCATGACGAGGGGGTACTTGAAGTAACTGTTCAAACTTTCTTCGGAAAGCTCAATCTCGTCTCGCCCATGATGCAGAACGGCGTCGTCCCCGGTCAGAGCGGCCATGGACGAGCAGTTTTCGGGCTGCATTACCAGAATATTAGAGAAGTTGCAGGCTTCCTTCGCATCTTGACTGATTTTAGCAATATTTTGCAGTCCAAATTGCTCGAACGCATCCGCTCCCGATACCTTTGATTGCACGCATTCGAGAAATTCTGAAACGGATTGCTTCGCGTCAACAAGAAGTCGGATGGGAATTTCAACAGTAGTTGGTCCAGACACATCGCTCAAGCCGAAGGCGGAAGCTTTTTCTCCAGTGATTGCTGTCCCAAAAGTTACATCAGAAGAATCACAGTACTGAGAGAGCACCATTGCCCACGCTGCGTACAGAATCGTCGGCTGCTTAAAGCGGGATTCCGTTCCACCCCGAAACGACATCGATATCCTTTTCCTCCGAACTGAGAGCTTTGATGTCTTCGTGGGGCTGAAATGAGGATATTGTGATCGTATTGCCCCCTCAAGTTCATTTCTCCAGTAGCTCCTTGCACCTTCAGCATTGAGTGACTGAGTATAACGGATAAAGTTCGTATACGGGATGCTTGGTCCTGGATCGCTACCATGGTAGGCTCGATGTAGAGAATTAAGTATCGTCTGCATGGACGAGATGTCGAACATGGCGTGATGGGCAATCCAAATAAAGTGTGAGCTTCCGTCATCTTCCTGTATAATCGCATATCGGTTGAGACGACTTCCATACGTCATATTCAATGACCGTACCTGGTTGACATATGCATGAACACTCAAGTTTGTGGCAGGCTTCTCCCATGAAACATCATCGGCGATGACAACTTGAAGAGCTTGATCTTGAAAAATGATGATCCGGGAACGCAAAATGCTGTTTTGTTCGATCACCACATCCCATGCTTCCCTGAGTCGGTCCGAGCGTATACCAGAGGGCAGCTTGTATACCCAACGATGGACATAGGAGCCGGGCTGCTCTTCGCCCATAGCCATAAAGCTTTCTTGTAATGAGGTGCAAGGATATATGTCCTCAACCTTGTAATCTCCCAGGAGTTGACATTGCGCCCTAGCTTGTCGCAGAATATGGCTCACATTATCTGGAGAAATCATGCTGAACCTTTCCGGGCTAGAGTCATGCCGAGGCTCACCTGGTGGCCGAGAAGCGGCCGGTTGAGATTCTAGGACTGCCTATGGGAGCTTCAGAAATGATGGTCAAACGTGGCAGTTTAAGGTACGTACATGGACATTGAATCCTCGAGGGCCAAATGAGTTGACGCCGACTTGTTTTGAGAAATCTTCTTCGTGTTGGGGAGACGAGGGAGATGAACCTAAAATACATCAGTACGAAAGGCTTTGCGTGTCGTAACGAGTACCTTTACCACTTAAATCTTGTGAAGGACTGTTTCGAATCAGCCAGTCAATGGCCTTGAACAGGCCTACCATACCAATACCAATGGCCGGCTGGTCCTTCTGCTGCTCAGTGGTGATACGCTCGAGGCCAAATACACTTTGCAATGCGACCTTTTCGGGCTCAGCAACTGCAGTAGATGGCGCAACAGTTTGCTACTGGATATCAGCGACCCGTGGAAATGGAGAGAACTGTACACAAACAAGGTGTCACTTACTTGGACAGTGACGGTGCGTCCAGGGTCTAATCCAGCCTTTTCATAGGCTCTTCGGATAAGAGTCTCATACATACGCTCTGTTGGTAGCTCGGCTTCATGAAATGAGCTATAGTAGTCGGTCTCTGCTGCACGAATCACTGCGCGAACGGGGTTTCCATCCCGCCGAGCAGCATCCAACGGCTTCAAGTAGAGCACAGAAATGGCATCTTGTTCAACAGATGCCGTGAGAAGGGGAGGTTCTGCACAAGCGACAATAGCCGACGTGGCCATACCCATTGAGATGGCATAACACGCTTCATGCAATGCAATCAATCCCGACGAGAACTCGGACATGACCGCAATGCTAATCCAGGTTAGAATGGCACGTGAAATGGGATCTTTGCGAAGACTCACGAGGGTCCTTGGATGCCAAGCTTCCTTGCCAAACAATTGATGGGCTCAGTCTCGCCAGAGCCCTGCTTCTCTGTGTCCTTTTCCGAAAATCCGACAAAAATTCCAACGTAATCGTCCTCTGCCTGATGTCTTGTTGCCTCACACGCATCCTCCATGCACTCTCGCACAACATCATGAAGGTCTCGCAAGCCTATGTCGCGAGTCCTTTCTGTGAGGCGGTTTGCAGTGCCACAGATGGCCAGGCGTAATTGCTGCGAGCTGACGCCACCATTTTGATAACCGTCCATTATGTTCAAGAGATCTTAGTCAGGTAGTACTCGTTTCTTGATATCCAAAAGAAGGTGGATGCTGTGTCCGCGTCGTCTTTCTTTCAGTTCCCTCCGAACCACAGCATGAATATTAGAATGAATTTAAGATAAATGAATGTATAATTCGGGGATCAACGAATTTGGCCTGGCAGAATGCTGTAGGTCTTGTTCTCTGCTTGCCTGCCACTACCGGAACGATACAAGAAAAATCGCTGGAGAAGTAGATCAGCTTCTAAAGGCTACAATCTTGGGATTGAGTGGACACTCGCGAAAAGGCAAGGTGCTCAGTTGCCACCCACAATTGCAGAAACTTCCGCTTACCCTTGAAGTCCGGCAGGGAGAGTCAGTTCCAGAATGGCGGAACATGGCTGGAACAACCCCCCTAGCATTTTCTCAGGCTACCTAGTGTTCTTTTGCCCGTGGTCTTGGATGATGTGCGAGGTTTTTGGTGTCTTAGACAGTGACAGAACCAAGTACCTGCTGGTGGCTGTAGCCCTGAGCAAGTTGGTAAAGGTCGCCGGGTAGGGAAACCGTATTGGGTCTTGATTTAGGCGGGTTAGACGTCGGAAATTTTCATGATGCTTATTGGGGCATGCTTCACTGGGAAGAGGACAGCTCGGAATGGTCAAAATTTTAAGAATAGTCACGGCGTCGCTGGTACAGGCCAGCAGAGGGACATACGTTATGAGAAAGGGGCACAATCACTAATTGGTGGGCACATGTGCTGAAGAGGCTCCATATCTTGACTATTATGGGAAATCTACAGTATTATGATGACTTAAAAGTCAGAGGCTGGGGCGGGTAACAATACGGTACAAGCAAACCGTGACTAGCCACCAAGAAAGTATGGATCAGGAGAGGCGAAATAATCCGTGATGCTAGTAGGCCAGGTCTCCCTCTATAGGCAAATTAACAACCGAGACCGGCTAGAATTGTCCTCTTAGGCTCTTCTCTTTAATGCCCGTGAGCCACTTAACCCTGATGATTGTCATGGCGATCTTCGGAGATGGTCTTCCCAAGGCGCAGTGATCCAGGGTTTGCCTGTGGTCTGATTACCGGTCCGCGCGTGAGATTCTGTCTAAGCTCAGCGGCGATTAAGCAGGCTAGTTCTGGAAATCGCAGCGTCCATCCGTAACGGGTGTTGCAATGGAGCTGTGGCCGAGACAGGGGACTTATTACCCGCACTTAGCCAACTCTGAGACCCATCGGCTACTGCGTCGAGGTTAGCCTTTTACTTGGAGATAGAATTGTAATAAGCTGAGGATATTTCCATAATTCGGACGGTCTTTTCCCCGCTTCAATCCCGCAGTGCTCGTTGTAACGCTCGTTTCCATCCGCCTGGAATTGCATGCATTCCAGAAGTGAGTCGGCCCGAGGGATGTTCTTCGTCATTTAGGTCTCAAAGTAGTGTTTTACAGGAATAACTCATTTACGTGCAGATAAAATACGAGAGCTAAAATGTTTCATATTGCTCGCCTTTCGGCTCCAGGCCGCGCTTTGCGCCGTGTGGTGGCTCTCATTATAGGGTAAACAACTACCAAGCTCTGGACGATGATATTGATCGTTGTACTGGTATGTGGCGATTGTTTGATCGCTGCCAGACCGGGACTTTAGAAGCTTTTTCGCCACTGTATCCCGGAAGGTTTACCATCATTCAGTGGGAATTGTTGCATACAAATAAAAATAAACAATACATATCAGACATCTTAACAACTTTCACTGCAGCTCAAATCAATCACCAACTGATGGCTCATTGAATTGTATTCTTCCGTGTAGGGTAGTCAACTACATGTCTAATACTGATCAATGATTTCTTCCCTGCAAGTGGGCGTTAGAGTTGAAAAACCGCCAGCCTATCTCTCAGTACCAAGATGCGGCATGGATGTTTCAGTCTCAAGTTATCATAGTGATTGTTCTTAGCACGATGACATGCTGCTACCTGGCAGCAATACTAATCGACCCATCTTGAAGTATTGTCTCCAGGTATTGTGGCCGCAATTGATGAAGAAAATGGCTAGCAAATAGCTTTGTGATACTTGGTATGTCGAGAACCGCTTGTCGAATACTTTCCCGATGATCATCAAACACGCAAGAATAAATCACATTGGGGTGAGAAGGATCGGCGACGCAATTTCGAAGCATCTAATCAGGTGTGTCGGATGACTCGAATCCGGGCCAACACACCACTGATTTTCACGTTTATGCCCTACCTAGATCTCCTGACCACATCAACACTATCAGCAATTTTGATAAGCCAGTCCTAGGACCTCTCACGCTTGGACTCGCCTTCACTTGCCCTCTGTCCCGGTAGGGTCTGATCACATTCCCAGGCTCATGGAGCCAACCGCATACATCCCCGCGTGACCACGTAAGACACACGTCGCGTCAGATTTCACTCCCTCGCTCCACGCCCTACTCTGTTTGTCTGGCTGTCTGTACCTCACATCCTCTGACCCTGGAATATGAGTTCCAGTTCTGGCCAACCAAGGAAGGCCAATCTCATGGGGTGCATGTAGTTATACGAAAGATGGCTTGCTGGTGTTTGAGATTGCAAAGGTTAATGGGCTAGTTTGTATGTCAGAATTGATCAATTGATTCTGTGATTAAGCCAAGCCGAAGGTACAGTATTTATTGTTCATAGTGAACAAACCGCTGCTTCGATTGGCTGCTCGTCCTATCTCAATAGTCACGTGAAGCCTTCCAATTTACACCTTAATTAAGCCTTGGAAATTTTATTGGTGCAGATGGCACTGTTGCATCGCAACTCCTATAAACGAACTAATAATGGGTCGAGACTTCAAGAGAAGCCTGATCTCTTCCCTAGCTAACTTTTCTTCGACCTCCACAGATGAAGCTTTCTGCATCATTCAAGTCACCGCCTCTATATCTCAATCTCTTCGGAGAATGGCGGAGGTAGTGGAAGCGAACAGTGTGTTGGAGGCTTCGCCCTTCTCTACCCAATTTACGAGTGCCGCACCTTACATTATTAGCAAGGTTAAAATAAAGGTTAGGTGCTTAAATAAATAAGTGAGAATTAAACAGAGTCGGCTAGTAGTTGCTATATACATCCGCCCATATATCTAGACTTTGTTCCTCCTTTAAGCCTAGCTGGCTACGCAAATATTGCATCACTTGCTCATTCTCACTCATCTCGGCGGCGTGAAAAACCCGGTCGCCATTGCTATCATAGGCATTAATGTCCGCACCATGTTCGACGAGAAACTTGACAATCTCTAAGTGACCGAGTCCAGCGGCGAGCATGAGCGGCGTGGCCTCATCAACTATATCTTTTGCGTCTATTTTAGCGCCATCCTCAACTAGGAGCTGTACCATGCGCGTTTGACCTCATAAAATTGCGTAGTAGAGTGGCGTCACTTAGTAGTCCCCTAATGGTTCGCTCACTAGCTTTTTCAGTCGCCATTTATCCAGTGGAAATAGAAAAGATTATTCTGCCACGTAGAGATGATAGAGATTTTCTAGGCCAAAGTAGGCGATTTGGTGCAGCTTGCCCATCCCAGGCTCGAGAAAAGTAGCCAGTGGCTTGGTGTAGCTTCTCGCTGCGTGGACGGATCGAGTTATCCGCCTAGCATCACTGAGGTAACCATTGGTAATATCTTAAGTTTCTGCAGGAGAATCTTTCGCTTGCTCACCCCAGTATGACGCAGCATACTTGTAGAAAGGACGAAACTCAACTATGCCTTCTCTGTCTTCTCTATCCTCGAAGGCGAAGTCAGGATATGATAGGCAGGTGATGCAAATATGAGTAATTTCCTCTGCAGCCTTTGAAAACAATTTCTACTACATGGCGTTGAAGTAGTCCTGCGCAGAGGAATAGACAAGAAAAACGGCTTGGGTTACGGTGTCATATCTGACCAGACCACAACAGACCGGCGTGATATTTATGATACTATGTTAATGAGTATGGTCACCTTCTTCCATCGTTGTTCCTTGCAACAGAACAAGAGCAGTTTTCAACGCGTCGGCTGTAGGCTGGGTCTTGGTGTATGAATTCCATAGAAGAGTTTTCATAGCAAGTTCACGGTGCCTGATTCTCTCCGCACTCTTTTCGTCCAGCCTTCCTATCAGCTCCATCTTGGCCATGGAGGAAGAAGATCCTCGAGGCCTAACCAAGTCTTGAACAAATAGGCGCAACTCTGCTTTAGTTTCTAAATGCTCATCGATAAGAAGATCCATGAAGAGTCGCGCGGTGAGAAATCTGTGTCATTTGTAAGATATTGTAGCCTTCTTCTCAGGGAATATTAATGAGGGGTACCCACGTTCCGCCTGCCTGTTTTACAATGCTGCTAATAGTATTGGAAAAGAGTTGCCCATCTTCCTCCATGAATTCAGGGAAGTTACTTCGAAGCTCGTGTTCAAGGAAATGCTCGAGGTCCTTGGGCTGCGAAGTAATCAATTGTGTGAGGTCTACTGGCAGGACCTGCCCAATCCTAGTTTCCGTTCTTGCAGTGATAAGGATGTTTAGCCCATGGCCATGGGCTACTCTTAACTCAGCGAGTTGGGATAGAAAACTAACCCTAGGGGTAGGGGAGGGACATTCATCAATAGCATCAATAACCAGGTATGTCTTCTCAAATTTTGTAAGCACCTGGTTAAGAAGGGCAATGAGCTCTCTGGTTTGCGGCCTAGAAGGGTTATTGGAAAGCCCAGAGTGAGAATATAGGGCCATCAGTCCATGCCTAGCTGAGCCTTGTTTGTGAATAAGCTGCCTCAGAATGATTTCAAGCAGCTTGTCAATTGTTTGCTCTTCTTTGCGCTTGAGATTAAAGTAGACATATGCAATTCCGATCTTGCCGTTATCTTGGTATTTTGTCAAAAGATGTTGAATGATAATTGATGTCAAGACGGTTTTTCCCGATCCAAGGTCCCCGGTGCAGAACAGTGTTAGACCTTTGTTTTCTTTCCATTTTTCGATGCTGGGCAATTCGAGGAACCAGTCGCCGGTCGTTTCATATCGTTTGCTGAGTGCCTCACGGTGCTGGTGGATGTAGTTGTCGTTTGCCAGCCAGTCAAGCATGCTCCTTTCTTCTTGAGCTTCACTCTTCATTTGCAATTGAGCCACATCTGTAATATTCACTTATAGTTAGGGCAATCAAAATCTCGGTGAAGCTAACAGTTATAACTAACCCTGTGTTAAAGCATAAAACTGTTTCTGCATTGATAGCTGCGTTTGTACTGTTTCCGGTGGCATGATGCTCAATAAGTCTTTTGCATAAGCAGCAGCAGCCATGGCCGCATATCCCTGCCACTTGTCGTGGTTGTGCGTGTCTGAGTAGTGGCAGATCCCCCTAATGACGAGGCATGGAAACTGATGTGTAAGTCCTGCCGCCTCCATCTCGAAGCAGAGCACCTTGTGATCCCTGGAAAATTTGTCTCTCATAGTCGCGTTTTTCATGACCTGATCAGCAGACGCAATGAGACCATAGTGTATTTCCACGTTCTCCGTATCATCCTCCCGAGGTTTCTGCTCAACGAGGTTTCCGGGGTCACTCCCGCAAGCTTTAGCGCAATCGATTGTTGCATCAGGATGAACTATGTGGGCGTGATAGAGCTGGTCGCTGGCGGGATCCGGGCGATGGCATGATTTGCGCACGAAGGGGCTGACATTCTCAAGAGCTTTCTCGATCTTTCCTTGCAGATCGTGACCTCTCGGTTGACGACGCATTCGCCGTCCTAGGTTACTGACAACTGTTCCCAGAAACATTGGAGGAATGTTGATCTTGCCAGTGATATGGAACTCATCCATGCCTTGTATATTCTTCCCCATGTCGTAAGGAAGCACGCCCTCGGCCCCGACCACGACATCACCCAGACGTATATCATTCGCCTTGCTCGGTGCCCCGCCGCCGATACCAACCATAAGGACCACCCTTATGTTCTGGAAAGTGCGGACCATGTGGGATGCGACGGATGCTGCAGAGACTTTGCCTGGAAAGTTGGAGGGTAGCATAGCCATAACAACATTGTGGCCCGCTATCTTGCCAAGCGTATAGCTGTTGATGTCATGCTTTGGCTAGGATGCGAGCAAGCCATGCTCTTCATCGAGGAAAGCCCCAGCGGCATCTCCTTCAACTGGGAGGCTAGCTACCCATCCCACTGTATATATCTCAGGGTTCGACATATTCAAAGTGTTATAAGATGATAAACTACCTAGCATATGAAATTATGTCTTTGGGAGTATGCGCTATTTTATAGGTTTCAAGGATAGAATGGAGGCGCCCGGCGCCGAGGTAACACTGAATAGAACACGAAATGTGAACTGCTGACTGACCACCTGCAGTAGCTACTAGTGGCAATGAGGCCGTCTTTATTAGTCAGTCTTTGCACATTGATTCAGCTGCTGCAGGTCAAGTATGCACTCTTACGTGTATTATGGTCCGCAGTCACCCTCAACGAGGCGTCTTCAAGGCGAGTGCCCAAATGCGCACCCCCAAATCCTCGCTGCGCACTCCCAAACTAAACTCTATTAAGTAACTATGTCCCTACATCTCTACCACATACTTATATAATACAACCAGTACGATCAGTACTATCAGTACAGTAGTAATTTAATAGTAGAAATAGGACTTATCTATAAGTATTCCCAGTAATAGGAGTATCAGCAGCTTCCTTCTATTTTATAGCCAGCCTTAGGCTCTAAAACAGCCTCCTTGGTAAGTACTATAGGAGACAGGGGCCCCTGTTTACACAGAGCAAGCCTTCCAATTTGGAGCCTAGGTAAACACCGCTGCTGCATACACAACTCATATGAACGAACTAGTAATGTGTCGAGACTTCAAAAGAAGCTTTATCTCGTCCCTTGCTAACTTTAATTGCTATGAACTGAACAAATGAAGCTTTCTGCATCATTCAAGTCACCGCCTCTATATCTCAAACTCTCCGGATAATGGCAGAGGTTTCGGTTAACCTGTCCTCCTTGAGAGGTAGTGGAAGCAAACAATGTGTCTGGGGCTTCACCCTTCTCCACCCAGTTCACGAGTGCTGCAAAAGGATCCGAGGGGACTGGCCCGTAACCGCCTCGACAATGTGCCACACCTGGAGCAAGGAATACCCGATAGAAATCATCCACGGCATGACGCCCGCCCATTTTCTTCTGCAGTTTGTCCCAGTACAGGGTCGTCCCAGGGTGGGTAATATAGGCATCTGCCATGCCGTGCCACGTCATGAGCTTGCCTCCGGCATTCTTGAAGCCTGAAAGATCCGGGTTGTCCGTTCCGAGCTTGTCAGTGAAAAGCTCTACTGACCGAAAGTATAATGACTCAAACGTATCGAATGAGATATGCTTGGTATCAAGTTCCGGATCTTGAGCAACAAAGTATTTCATCCAAGCTTCCCCTGAACTGAAAGGAACGATATCTATCGTGCCATTGACAACCGTTGTGTTGGCAAGCCCATCGAAAGCCGCTCCAGGAGGGTTGCCAAACCATAGAAAATCTCCGGACGACGTACGAGCGCCCTCAAGAATCTTTGCAGCAACGTCAGCATGCGCAGTGGTTATAACCACTGAGGCAGACAATTCGGGGCAATCGACAGTCTGTCCTACAAGAGTCTTCGGGTTATAATCACACTTGTCGGGGGCCGATATGAGGCCGTCAGTGGCGCCGTCCTGGGGGTCGCAATGTCTGACTGTAGCAGCTTGAAAAGCCGAGAAGACGCATTGAGGTGGCGCAACGATATTTTCCATGACCACGACAGGCCAGAAGTCTCCAGGCGAGACTCGCGGAGTAAATATGGCGGGAGCGTTTGCCATAATACCATCGAAGTCTTCGGGATAGTACTGCGCTGCGAGATAACCCTGTCTGCCTCCAGTGGAACATCCTGTGTAGTACGAGTGGTGAGGTCGTTGGCCATATAATGCCACAGTTGCCGCCTTGCCTATCACCGTCATGTCATGGATAGACCGGTAAGCAAAGTTCTTGATAAGACCCTGGTTGAGTTTGCCTTCCGGAGTAAGTGCCCAGCTACCATCTCCAGCCAGTAAAGTATTGTTTAGGGTGAGTCCCGCATCAGTAGAACCAGCAGCGTAGCCATCTACAACGGGTTGAATCAAGGCAGAATCAAAATATCCCGCTGCGAGACCACCGCCTCCAGTTGCTTGGAATCGACCGTTCCAGCCGTGGAAAGGTAGCCAGATGCTGGTAAGCACAATATCGTCTGCCCCAGAGTGAGTGAGGGAAACGTTGACATGACAGAAGTCGATTGTTGTTTGCGTCGGATTGCCTGTAATCGAGTAACCAAATACTGAAGAACTGTGCACATTAATTACATCAAATTCCTCAAAATGCGGCAGCTCGAGCGATTCACACTTCTGTGCAAGTGCAGGATTTCCATCAGATGGTGCAGTAACGACGACCCACGCCAACAGCAAATATATCAATGACTGAGCCATGACCACACAATGACGGGATTAAAGACGGAATCAAACCCTTATCCTAGATAAATGTTCATGATTCTCAAATCAAAAAAGTTAAACTGGGGTTTGAGTTTGGAAGATGAGCAGGTTTTATCGGCTCTCATGGATCAGCAAGGCCCGCAAAAGATTTTCCGCAAGCAAAGCCGTAAGTTATCATTTCTTTTTCCGAGGGCGAATTAATAGGAGCATATTTCTGTGGATACTAAATCCAATCAACTTGATTTCTCAATAGGGAAATCGTTAGCTTTGATCTTCATATGAGATCCTCGTTGACCGGAGGTGTGTGACGACTCTGACTCAGGCCCGGCGAGTCAGTTTATTATTTTAGTCCTGGAGTTACAAATAGCCTAATAACCATTGCGCGGTCGCACAATGCTGAGGTTGATAGACCTATTAACTACCGGAAAGTAATAAAGACGAAACGGAACAGAAAAGATCGATCTTTGGCAGGTTTTTATAAAATGGGTGAACCGCTGAACTGCTCATAGACTAGACTGTCCTTCAAATTTACAAACAAAAGAACATCAAACCAGTTCCATACTATCATATTAGAAAATGTTTAACTAGAAAAGCCACATATATTTCGTTATCAGGTATCTAAAGAAACAACTGGAGGAAATCCAGTAACAACAGTCATTGATCACATTAATCCATTATTTTAGCCCTCATCAAAAGAGCCATTCCGCCGCTTTATACCATATCTTCCGGCCCTGCGGGTTCGGGGTGAGTAGGGACGGGTACAAATGAATTTGGCCACTCATTTTCCCGGTTCAGCACTCCGGTTTCAGCCTCTGGCGCAGTCGGTTTTTCCCGATCATGATTCCCACTCAAGTATGCAGATGAGAATCTCCGATACGCCCTACTAAGGCATGCCCGGATCCCTATAGAGTGCAGAAGCGGCCCAAGAGGTGGCAGGTTGGCGGCCCAGGTGCCGAGACACATCTCGATCATGACCCAGAATGTAGGGTTGAAGACTTGGAGAACAAGTGGCGTCTTATCTTTTGGCTTTGCCTCGTACCCCCAGCTCATTCGGCCCATTGGATAGGCTATACAGAGGAAAATCATTCGCAAGATGCAGGCAACGGTAGACCTAAGATGACCTTCAGTGTCAGCAAGGCTTGACAAACGTACAGTTCTAGCAGTAGAGCATCTATCTACTTACATCAATCCGAGAAGGAAGATGAGCCCAGCACCCCATTTCTGCTGCTTAGGCATTTGTAATCCTCTAATATAAAATAGTGGAACAATCAGGACTGAGACGTCGGTGACAAAACTGGTGATTGCAAAGAGGAGGAGCATAAGCCCTTTATCTCCACAATGAGCTGCAGCGAGCTTCTGGTTCGCATCAAAGCTGAGAGACAATTTGGTGCCGCAAATCAATAGATCGGACAGTACAAAGGCGACCGTCCACAGAATGATAATCACGATTAGGATGTTGTTCGCAAGGCGAAAACTCCGTCGAACCGTGAAGATCCTCCGGTAAAAAAAGAGTAGCGAAAGCTTAATGGCACCGAAGGCCGGCTTCTCAATCACAACCATGATGAAATTGATCTTGTGTGCGGTGACGGCTCTTTCAACAGCGTCCTCGGTGGAAACTGCTTCACCTCCAGTGCCATGAAGGGCGTTAAGGCATTGGAGAGCGGTACAGGCCATCAGGATGACAACACCACCAGCGATGAACCAGTCATCAGCCCCAAGATGCTGCCTCGTCAATGCCACTCGGGTCCAGAATCGAAGCGCTGTAAGAAGAATCCCAACCGCGGTGAATATTACATACACCGGGATTGTGACCGAGAACGGATAGAAGCTCATTTTGTTTGATATGTACTGGGTCAGAAATGAACTGTCACACTCTGCTTCTCAGTGTGCTCGAGCTTCCTTAAACACCACAGAGATCATGCCAGTGCGCCGCAAATTTTCGGGTGTCAGCAATTTCGGGTCGCATTTCGAACACACCATCTACGAACAGAGTGAAAGTACAACCCTTCCATAATATGCTACCAAGTTGTCCTATATTTTGCGGGGCTGATCATCTAGAGATTAAGCGATGGAGATCAAAGATCCATCACTCATAGATATTATGTCGAAGACAAGAATTCTAAGATCGTAGATATCGCGGATTTGGTGCTAGAGGATGTAGAGGGTTGCATCGTGTTGTGAAACGTGCGTTGATGGGCGGGGGTTTTGCCCACACTCCAATGCTAAGCAGTGCAACACATACAAAGGCGAAAATGAACTTCGCCTCCAAGTTGTAGCGAGTACTTGAAAAATTAAGGCTGAGTTAATGAGAGGCAGCTTGCTCCACGATCATTAAGTCGAACTTGGCAAAGAATTCTTCCGCCAGATGTGGCAACGTGAATGCAACAGTGGTAAAACATTGGGTTGCATTGGCATTTACCAATGGGGGCTGAATTCTCCAAATAGCTCTCAGCCTGAATCCTCCAAAACATGTTGTGTTGCATTCATAGCAACAGCGAGCTATTCAGCCCCGTATCTCAGCGCCATTCTCCAGTGCAACCAAGAGGGATGTCATCGTCCCGCTT